ACACAATTTCACCTACCTATAAATTTTACTATTTCGATTATATCTAATCTAATTTATTTAATATCGCTGTTAACCTTCAATTGCCGGAATATGAAATCCTTATAATTGTTACTATGTAGGTTACGATTTGCAATGATAATAGAAATCTTCGTTAATAATTTGATCAATTAAGGACACAACAATTAAACCTTTAACTCCTACTGATAAACGTTGAACTAAGTCCGCTTATGATGCAATAGATATAGATATTTTGAAAATTACAATTAAAATTATTTACATAATATTAAAATTTCTTCGTTTAAACACGTTCATAGCTCAATTATAAAGGCTTTGCAATTAATTTGCCTATCAATACTCCAAGAGCTAGGGGGACGTTATAAATGGTTTTCGGGCACAAAAGTCCGGTAACGACTTGCGTTGCCTGTTAATAATAATTATTGGCCCCGTGTCCATACAGAGTAAATGGAATTCAATTAATTCCCGCTGTCTTGTGTAATTAACCTTTTTTTCCTTCGTTTAGAAAACAAATTAAGTATATATGTGGTTCGATTCTCCGTTATCAATTTAGATAACCTCAATGTCGGCTCAATTCAATAATAAAATATTGCGTCATACGATTGTACTGACATGACAATGTTTGCTAGAGTTTTTCCCTATCTTAATTAATGGAATTTTCATTACATCAATAATTATATATGTATTTATTACCAATGTTTTACAACTGTTTTTATTCTTGGACTGTGGTTAATAAGCTTAATATAAATACGGGATCATTCTTCCCGCGCCCTGCACATACATTTTCTAATTTTATCGGGAACTAAGCTCATATTGACATTAACTACACTTCATCATTTTACAGTGTGGGTGTGGACTTGGTGCTCGTGGGTGTACCTATTCTTAGGGATGGGCTGAAATTGTTTGAATCGAAGATTATAGATTTCTAGTAAAAGTTCAATTTCTTTTTTTCCATTGGCAGTTGTATCTGCAATATTGTGCAATGCTATAACTTAACAATTAACACTTACATTTAAAGTGCTCTCAGAAAAATAACTACCACGACTCTATAGTAGTTATTATTTTCCAGTTCCGTTTCTTTTATTGCAGTGAGTTTCTCATTTTTCGAATTTTAATTAAAAAATTCAGAATTCACCCCATTCTTACGCTCTGTAATCATTAGAGTAAGCTATTAATGTGAATATCAGAATCTATTTATAAAAAATATTTTCGTTACTATTATAACAATCGTACACTTAGAATCCTTAGTTTATATAAAAAATACATTCACAATCAATGTTATAATAATCAGAATCTTTAATAAATAATAATTATATTATATAATAAATTGTAATTGCAAATGAAAAATTTCAAAGCATCAAAGGGCTTATTTTGATTTGAGTAAATTTATAACATGTACGATTATATTTGCTTGTGATGCATGATATCTCTAAAGTTCACAGAAACCCTCGGTGGTCCATTCTCTTGATACCTTATACGATTTTATTCTCAGCGTCATCCGTTTTAATTTATCATTGAAGTCCAAGTGATTATCTTTATTTATTTATGGTTTATTTGGTATTCCTACAACAAAAAACATAGGTACATGGCTTATTCAAACTTAAAACTAAACATAAACCAATAGTGGCTTACACAAGGAAGAATAAATATGTAATAAAGAACACAAAAAGAAGTGAAAAAAAGAAGATTATTTTGCAACAAGATTAAGAATAATTTAATCGTCATTTCTTTTATAGATAAATCTTTATTTACTGTTATTTTGTAATATAAAGAGGCGTCATAGTAATCTAACAGCGCTGTTGTTATACCTGTTATAGTGATGTGCTTCGCTCAAATGAACTATAAGTGAAGTGCAATGTACAGTTTTGATAAAGATCTGTGGCACGTGAATCGGTCGCAGTCGGGCAGCAACGAGCAGCCGGCAGATATTCGTAACTATCATTTTGATAATCAGTACATTGTTAGCTATTTATAAATTAATATATTTTGCTGATAACAGTATTATTACAAATACACATATGCCTCCCCCCACACCCCTTCGTGTTGTCTTTTACCTTTAACATGTAACCGATGAGGACATAATTGGCTGTACAGTTTTCTCCCTACAAAAATAGACCGTAGAGTTTCTTATTAATAAAATTATAGTTTTTTGGTTCCGTTCATACGATATACCCAATGTATAATAATATATTTGATCGTATTAGCAAGAAAAACAAGTTGTAAACCAAGTCTAGTTTATGAAAGAAATGAAACAATCTTCTCCAAGAATTGCTATTCATGCTATGCAGAGCGTGGTACGAACAAAAGATTGCCCTTGAGAGCGAGGGGAGATGGATGTTTCTGGATGGTATTGTATTGTCCATGATAGGTACTTCAACTAACTATAGCTTACTACAAATATAATACGTATTATATAGTTTTTATATTTCTAGCAATATTCAAGATAATACAAAATTTCGTAAAAGACACATTACTAAAATATTAATTGATAAGTAAAATATTAAGTGAGTTGCGAAAACGGTTCATATACAAAAAATATGTATGAAAGAAGGATTCCTCTTTAAATGATATAAACAATATGTATTTAAAGATTACCTTGCAAGAACGATGGGATGCGCACGACGTCGTGGGTAATAGCTATAATTAAAAAAATTTGAGGTTTGAAAAAACACGTTTTGATGTCTCTAAATATCCTATGCGGACGAAGTCGCTGGCACAACTAGTAATGACATAAATATAGCTAATTTTTAAGCCTTAATTGTAAACGTGTTGCATTGCGTGCGGAAACAAAAACCTGATACAAAAATATGTTGATAAAAAAAATTATGTTTTTAATCGAAAACTGTACTTAACTTTATTTAATTAATATAGATCGCGTTTTAAATCGGTAAAGTGTTTTATTTAACTATTTAAATCGAGCAAACACTCTATTAATCTTGTACTCGTTTGTAGTTTAGTGAAAATGGTGATCATAGACAAAATTAGCAAAACATTTTGTACATCTTACTATTAAATATATTCAACTTTTGCTTTAACTATAGCTACAAGAACAGTGTGAATAATTCAGATGGAAGCAACGAAGTGCCAGCGGAATTATCCATTAACGGAATAGCTTGAATGAATTCTAATAGGCGTGGCCGTGAACTTGTATAGATCTATCGCATAATAATAAGGTCGCTTATAGTTTGTGCTCCTGTTAACCATTTGACTTGCATTTCCCCAATATAAAAGGGAGGTAGGAGATCATTCACGTCAACATTACCCATCAACATTAAAGAAGTACTAAGTTTTCTTTCACCAGAATGGTATATACAGAGAATTAATAGTCTCTTGTTTTTAGATTCAACTTCCCTTTATTGCTAATAGAAGTCGGTGTATGTACCAACCCGGTTCTCTGTCTTTATTATGATAGAGATGGGTTAGACAAGCATAGTATTCACTTAATGGTAGATGAAATACCACAGTCTGATATATCTATTTTGGCTTTGCATATTCGGAAATCCACAGACTGTAGCCGATTCAACTAGTCTGTTAGCTACAAGTCATTAAGTTCGTTAAACTTGATGGCTTGATGGATTACACCAACGAGCCTGTCTCTTCTTAGAATGAAAATGTTTAAATTATTTATTAGCGTTATTTCTACGAATAATATTCTACCATATAATCTAGTCACCGAAAAAAGAAGATATTTGGATAGCTTTAGAATGTCGCGAATGTCAACTGTTCCTAATTAGGTATTTTTCCCGAGAGCCTTTGAAATAAGTACTAGCAGTGAACGGGAGCGAGTTATAAACCACTCGTGTTGATGACGCATTACGAATTCAGTCGACCTTGGCCTTACAATCCGTTCCGAGTAGATTCTACAGCTGTTTGAATTATAGGGACAGTATAATTATGTACTATCTGTAGTTTTTGGAAGTAGTACATATTGAAATAACTGAAACGGTTTAAAACGCGAAATATATTAGGTAAACTTTTGAAAACTTTAATATTCTTTACATGTTATTGCATATGATGACACTATATAGTTTAAAAATCTAAAATAAATAATATCAGTAGTTTACGCGAGCAGTACACATTTAAATAAAACACTTTAACCGTTTGAAACGCGAAATATATTACTTAAACTTATTTAAAAATTATTTTAACTACGACCCGATGCATCGGATGCTTTGTAGCAGCCGTGGTCACGGGGAGACTAAACATGGAGAGTGTTTTTAATGTCAAAGTAAAAACTGCTACGCTAGTGCCATCTGTTTCGTCGTAGGCGGTAAAACGAAACGTCGAAATGTTGGGGCGTAGTTAAAATAAAATTTCAAAGAAGTTTAACCAATAATAACATCATGATAATTTATGGAAAGGTAACTTCTTCGTTACGTAACGCGTTACGTCGCCTGTCTGTCAGGTTATCAAATCTGTCGGGAGTCTGTAAACAAGGAAACAGACCATCTCCATCATTGGAATAACATTTGCGTATTATTTTACTTGTTGTGTTAATTTTTGTTATTTGTTAATTTGTAGTAAAATATTTTATACAAAACAAATTAATTTTATTTCCCCAGTTCTCACTTTGCAAGCATTTACTGTTTACATAAACAAAACCTTGGACTAGTTAATTAAATAAACCAGAGGTGAGCCGAGGATTATCTTTCATGGGTATTAAGCTAATCCATTTCTCTTTGTTCTTTGTATTTTTATATTATCAAAGGAAGTAATTTCTATATAAATATATATTTACTCTTTATTCAATAAAATGAATTACAAATTTATCGATGGCGCAGACGGGATTTGAGTCCAACGCCACAGCGGTCTTGATGTTCCTTCCAAATGATTTAACGTTACTTACTGTACTTTATATAAAAACGCTAGTATGGTTGCAGCAACGGCACGGAACGTTGTGGTCTTAGGTTCGAGTCCTGGAAAAGGTAAAGACACCCTAACATAGCGACGAACTACGGAATTTTTAACGGCTTTTCTTATTTCAGGTAGCGAAAGCCCGACTAGTGCCGTAGGGGCGGAGGCGCCGAGAGAACTTCCAAATGAACTCTCAGCGCCTTATGAGGTGCCACAGTTTCCAATTGAACAGATTGAGAAGAAACTCCTTATACAAAGGCAGCTAAATGTCAAGTAAGTGTGTTTAAGAGTTTGGAAGAATATTCAGAAAGTATTCTGCATATGTTTTAGTGCAAAAATATTTTTCTTCGAGTAAATTTAGAGTATCATGGTAGACCTTCACCAAATTAGTTTTAAAATTTTAAATGGCCAGTGTCCATGGCCGTGTTTTATTGATCGATGGTATTGCATTGTGTCACAAATCTGACAAAATACATACCAATAATTTCGCAGATCAGATAAGTTATTTCAATCAAGCACAGGCACAGTTGCGACGTCTTAGCCTTTGACATGCAGACAGCTTACATACCAATGATACCATATAATTTCTACAAACACGACTGAAGAGGGTGACTAAAAATTAATAGAACGTTACTGCTGTCACGCGTCACTGGTCAGATGTTATTAGCTTGTAAATTGGATTAACCTTGCCGCGACAACCCTTACCGTACGCCATTTGTTACTGCATATCCGAACGCACCGATATTCCTTTGCCGCGTACCGGCTTCAAAAAACCTTCCATTTTTGAATTTCGGCGGGAGTTAAGCGGATGTTTAAATTTTATATTCTGTGAAAAACAATGTGACTTTAAATACGGAATATTAGTTTTTTTTTTATTTATCGATATTCTATAAGTGATGTTTGGAAGCAAGGTAGACTGCCAAAGGTGGATAAGGCATAATCGGTAAAATGTGAATTTATAATTAAAAAAACACATTAGTAGTAAAAAAATATATTAGTTAGGTTGCAAAAAACTTTGTGCCAAACAAAATGACTAGTCATGTTCGCTAATTGAAAAGTGTTTTATTTTTTTATGTGTATAATGTTAGGTTAATATGAACTGAAGGCTTTACGTTATTTGCAATACTTTATTATCTTGCGCAATATTAGCAACCATTTAGTAACTGAATTCAAGTTTGTTTTGAGTTTATTAGTTTATTAGAAAACGGTGCTATTCTCATTTGTATCTAAGATAAAACCCTGTGGTCATTTGTCATAAAATGACTTTATTTACAGAGAATGCGAAATTCAGAATCTTTAGAAATGGCGCAAGTTTTAGGTTAAAGGCTAGTCCATATCAGAAATAATTATAATGATATTGTTAGCCAAGATTTAAATCTATGAGTGCAATTCATTGACTGACAAGACATTCGGCACAAGAGGGATGGAAAGCGGCAGTTGCACTGTCATTATCATTAGAAATTAATCGTAGGGATTACTGATGAAGCTAAAACTAAAACTAGTTACTTATGTACCTCATATGCAATGTATGTTTCTATTGCACAAATTTGTGCCTTTTATTCGCTTTTAATAGTTTTACTATTATTATATATTAAGTACGACACAAAAAATACCTACTATTTTAGTTTATTTAACTACGGACCAATTTTAGGCACGCTTTTGCAAGGAGAAAATCATTTCGGTGATAATCCAAATTAGTTCTAACTATCTTTTGTATTCCCACATAAACTATATAAATTGTAAATATATTGATATTTCTTTTTTTAAAAAAGATCCTACTTCACACAATCTTTAAATAAGATATCATTTTTCGAATAATAGTGACACATTCATTAATACTTTCATAATTAAAATAGTTCCCTTGAATACAACACAAACAGTAATAATTATTGGTATAAATATTGTATAATCCATTTATTCTGTTTGCAAAGTCATTTGACGGAGTTATTACTTAACGTTAGGGTTACGAAGTTAATTTCTTGAGGCAACTTAACAAAGTTTACTTCTAGAATAATATTTCTATTCAATACGCTGAACTACGGAATTAATAATTATTCTAAAGTAACATTTATTAAAGGTAGAATTAAACATTTGCTTTAAAACCGCGCGACTTATGCTAGATATTGTTAGTGAACGTTTTCTAAATAAATTACAAAACTCCAATTATGCATTCAAAATAAACTTAAATAGATTTTAACTCAGTTTTATCGCTGGTAGGCATCTTAATTATATTGCAAGAAGTATGACTTTTATAGTAGGCTTAAGCTATGAAAAAACACATTAGAACTAGTTTTTTGTTATGTAAATTTTATATACTAACATACATATTTGTTTTATGTACCATGTTTCGGGTCGTAGTTAAACATATATCGCGTCTTAATCCCTCGCGATTTCATCAATTTCCTGCTAATTATACAATTCTCTAACCCCTTCAGGGCGGCAGAATGTGGTCAATCGGCTCGTTCATTCGCTGGGAGCGAGGCGGGCGCTGCTGCAGTATTTGAAGAGGCCGCAAAACTTCGAGCTGATGATGATGAAATGGATATCATCCTACCACACTTCCAACGTGTGGCGATAAGTGGTGAAGATACTTCTGGAGTAAGTGAAGCTTAATTTCGTTTTAAAATGGCAGAATTTAGGTGATAGAAACACGTTTACATATTAAATTAAAAATTTTCTGTAGTTTACGCAAGCAATGTACATTTGAATAAAACCGTTTCTACGGTTTTAATATATTTCGCGTCTTAAACCGTTAAAGAGTTGAATGTAAACCCTACAACATTTATTAACTTAACAGGTTCCTCTAGAAGATTTGCAGCAGGCCTCATCTTACTTGGTGCAAGCCCTGGAGATACGCAAGCGCTACATGGAATTGTCAAGTCAGAGTTTCTCTACGATAACAGCGCGATTCCTCCGGTCCATGGACCCGGATGGTGCTGCTAACCATACACCGAGTGTTAAAGTACCGCAACGACATATTGCTGGTAAGTTCTGCTAACAATTGCCGCTAACTCTTATTTTCTCAGCAGTGAGAAATAAGAGTTATATAATAAAAATATAATAAAAACACTTAGTTTCTTTACATTACATTTAGTGTAGCATTTAAATAATAAAACCATATAAATATTCTATTGACTCTATCAACTTCACGGTACGCTGTTGGTTCAGGGTTCAAATCTTATGCGTGCAATCGATATTTTTTATTTACAATTTTTTGAGTCTGTTAAGACCCTTAAGTACCTATAGGATAACATAATTAATTGACTATTGTCTTATTCTTCTAGATCACATAGTTCACCCACCTTTCAAAGACAATAAAGATCCTTGGGAGTGTCCAATGCCATCTGCGAAGGGGTACAAGATAAAGTCTGATAATGGTGTTTTCAACTTGTACAGAGACGATGACTGTAAAGACAGGGTACCATACGAATACATTACTCTGTCACAATACATACAGGACAAAAATATTATGTGCACAATGATTGCTGATGGACCATTGTAAGTTTGTTTATTTGACAATTAGTTTCAATTTTACTGTACTTAACGTTTGAAAACTTTAATATTAAATACTGTCTATAGTTTACGCGTGTAGTACACATTTAAATAAAACACTTTAATGGTTTGAAACGCGATATACATATTAGTTAAACTTATTTGAAAATTATTTTTAACTTCAGCCCGACGTTTCGGATGCTTTACAGCAGGTCTCCCCGTGACCACGGCTGTAAGGATGTTTTATTTAAACTTTAATATTTTCACATTGCACATGATGGTATTATATAATAAAAAAATCGAAAATTAATTGAACATTGAGTTCTCGGTAGCTCAATTGGTTAGAGTAACATCACAGAACGCTGCCGACTTGCCGAGAAATTTAAAATTAGTAAAGATTTTTAAATTATCTGTCTTTTATATACGTAAGTGACTTCGTATTTTTTTTTCTAGGAAATCTTTTTGCTACCGGCGGTTAAGTTATCTGTCTTCAAAATTCCAATTACACGTTCTTTTGAATGAGCTTCGAGAACTTGCTTCACAAAAGGCGGTGCCGCATCGGGATTTCTACAACATTCGGTAAGATAGATAGACATTTATTTCCCATTTAGATTACAAATTTCTTACATGAGAAACTTATTGCTAAAATATGCCAATTAATACGCGGGTAGTTTTTATTAATTCGGACGAACTATAAATAGCCGACGCAATAACATCGTGCCTATAAAAGTTACAACTTCACCTAAGCAGTAATCTAATAGAGGAACGCAATTAAAGTGTTAAAAATAATATCTGTGGTTATAAAAAGTCATAATTTTATAGTAGAATTATTTGTCTGCTTAATTGTTTTATTTACTAAGTAATTATTCCAATAAAATTTTTCTTATTCCAGTAAAGTTGACACACACATTCACGCTGCGTCCTGTATGAACCAGAAACATTTGCTACGTTTTATCAAGAAGACTTTGAAAAATCACGCCGATGAGGTATCTACTCAAAAAATATAATAGCACTTCCATAATATTCTTGGGTGGAAATTAAAACGAGAAGTTTCATTTTGTATGCTTCTTTTTAGGTGGTAACTCTTCACAAAGGATCGCCTATGACTTTGAAAGCTGTGTTTCAGTCCATGAATCTTAGTACTTATGACTTGACTGTGGATATGCTTGATGTACACGCTGTAAGTTAAAAATTAGAACTACTTGATATTATCAACCATAGTTCTGAATCATATAGATAGTAAGTTCACTAACTTACTCGTTTCTTCTGTATGCACGCAGGCGTGAGGACCTTTACTACCTCTAATATAAACTTTAACCATACTAACTAATTTACTAGTTTTAAGAATATTATTTTCTTTTGTTAAAATTATTTACTAAAACTTATAAACTTTATAACAGGACCGCAACACTTTCCATCGTTTCGACAAGTTCAATGCAAAATACAACCCAATCGGTGAAAGTAGATTAAGGGAAGTTTTTCTCAAGACAGATAACTTTATGAATGGAAAATACTTCGCAAGGATAATAAACGTAAGAGATTTTTTGTTTAATGTTCACAAAGTTTTCTTCAACGTCTTCACCATATTGCTTAATTAGACGTTAATACTGTCTGAAGTTTACGCAAGTAGTACACATTTAGATAAAACACTGTAAAGGTTTAAAACGCGATATATAATAGTTAAACTTATTTTAACTTTGGCTGGGTCCTTGCAGAATTGCAATTCCCGGTCATTTCCGCCAAACACCAACTTCAACAGAACAGATGGCGCTAGAGTAGCAGTTTTTACTTTGACATAAGAGACACCTACCATCTTTAGTCTCCCCGTGACCACGGCTGCTGCAAAGCATCCGACAAATCAGGCCGTAGTTAGAATAATTTTCAAATACGTTTAACTAGTATATATTGCGTTTTAAACCGTTACTAATTTAATTTGACTCCATTCAGCACTAATCTCCTAATCTTCAAAACACTTTCAATCATAAAATTGATAATTTAACTTAATTGCAGGAAGTAGCATCAGACTTAGAAGAGAGTAAATATCAAAATGCAGAGCTGCGGTTATCAATTTACGGAAAGAGTCCCACTGAGTGGGCAAAACTCGCGAAGTGGGCCATTCAATATGACGTGCATTCCAACAACGTTCGTTGGTTGATTCAAATTCCGCGTTTATAGTGAGTACTACACTTATGATCGCCACAACAGTTAAAACCTAGACTCTAAATTTACATTTACGATATTTGGTGTAATTTTCCTTACTTACTTATAATACATGAGGAACGAGAAAAATGCGGTGTATATCTGATTGTTATCTTCCAGTGATATCTTCAAATCGAACAAGATAATGAACAATTTCCAAGAATTCCTAAGCAACATCTTCCAACCACTCTTCGAAGTAACCAATGACCCAAACAGCAATTTGGAACTTCATAAATTTTTGACAGTAAGTACAGAGACCATGTTTTAGCTGATTGATGCATGCTGATGATAGCACTATGGTGCTACGGCCAAAATACCTGATCTTCTTATTTTTCGAACTGATTCAACCCTACCCTTAAAACGGATATGTTAGGCTTTAGTTTTCAAATAAACCTTAACTCATTTTTTCTTTTCGGACACCGAGTAAACTCTGTATGATCCACATAAATTCCTAACCATTTCATCCGTTTCTCTGATGGGAAATTATCTAAGTTGAATAGTTATAATAAGTTTTTAATATTAATACCTTAAAAATTCTCTCAACAATATAGGGTACGTTAAATGACCTACTGAGGACCTAACTATAATTTTTAATATATTTTTAATCTGTGGTAATCAGATTTTTGAATAACACATTAGTGAGAATGTCATTAAATATATACATAATGCAAACATATCGTTTACAGCATGTAATAGGATTTGACAGCGTGGATGATGAATCAAAACCCGAGAACCCAATGTTAGATGCAGATGTGCGCTTCCCTGAACAATGGGACGATGAAGAGAACCCGCCCTACGCTTACTATCTTTACTATATGTACTCGAATATCACCGTGCTAAATCACTTTAGAAAGTAAGTATGGCCTTAAAATTGACTTCATGGAATTTCATCTAAACAAGATGCCCTGTCGCCCTTTTCTGGTTTACTCGCGTAAAAATGCAATTAAATGTAAAATTAGCCATACGATAATATAAGATATAGGGGGGGGGGGGGGGGAAATCCCCCCCGGGGGGATTTTTTTTTTTTGGGGGGGGGGGGGGGCCCTTCCCCGCCTTCCTGGGGTTTTTTCGCCCCGATTTTTTTTAGATAATTTAAGAGAAATTATTCTTTCAAAAATTTTTTTATTGCAGCCTCGTGCAAATGCACTAACCAAAAAAACTTTTCAATTCGAATCCTTAGTTCTGAGATTAGCGCGTTCAAACAAAACAAACAGTCTTCAGCTATATTATATATATTAGTATAGCTAAAATTAAATAATATCAGTTTTTTAATGATACAGTCAATAAGTTACCATCTTTATTTCATAGTTTCATTTACGTTTAGTATGTAACATTGAAACTAATTTTCGGTTTTAATGTTGTTTCTAGGGAGCAGGGACTTAATACGTTTGTACTTCGCCCCCACTGTGGTGAAGCTGGACCCGTACAGCATCTTGTATGTGGTTTCATGTTAGCTGAGAATATTTCTCACGGCTTGCTCTTAAGGAAGGTGGGTAACTTTAGGTGTATCGACCTATGTTTATGCACTTTTTTAGAGGAGGGCCGGGCTGGGGGTTCGCTTAATGGTTCGTGAAATACCCTAGCCATATAACATCTAAACAAGATGCACTGTCACATATTTAAACTTTGGATATTTGGAAATCCACAGACTGAAAACGAAACGCAATTAAACTTCAGGACTTTTTGATATGTGGAGGGTCATTCGTGACCCGGACGGAATTCCTGTCACCCATTTAGTATCCAGATTTCCATGCCAAGTCCATCGTTTTCCTTTCTAATCATAAACTGATTAGAAAAATATTAGACTCGTTTGGGATCCACGATCCATTGACTATTAGTCAAAACATTATTTAATTTGACAAAAAGTCTATAATTTTATTTTGAATTATATTTTTATTTCATTTGCACAGATAAGATGTTGATGTAACGGTGATTTTAATTTGTTGAGTTTCTTAATTTATTATTTTTGTTTATACTAGGTGCCCGTACTCCAGTACCTTTACTATCTAGCCCAGATCTACATCGCGATGTCACCACTCAGCAATAATTCGCTCTTTCTGAACTACCATCGAAATCCTCTGCCGGAGTTCTTGGCAAGAGGGCTGTGTATCACGCTTAGTACTGATGACCCACTTCAATTCCACTTTACTAAGGTACGCAGATGAGATATTAAGATTAAGTCATTTTGGTCCAGGTCCTCAAATCCCGATGAAAAACACACAGATAAAATAAAAAAGAAATGAAGAAGTAATATGCGAGAAATTATAGATAATGTATAAGTTGAAACATTTTATATTAAACATGAACTTACTTAAATAAAGAATTTTTGTAATTTGTATTGAAACAAAATACTTTCAACCTTTTGCACTTCATGGGCCAACGTTTCGCGTGCTTTGCATGGGCCTGGTCGTGGCGGACACGTGTTCGGGTCGTTGTTAAGATAAATTGCAAATCAGTTTAACTAATATATTTCGCGTTTTAAACCGTTAAAAGTGTTTTTATTTAAATGTGTATTAGTCTTGTCAACTACTGACCTACTTAAGTAAACCTAGTTTACAAAAATAATAAATATACTCAAATAAGTTGCTGTTTCAGGAGCCGCTGATGGAAGAGTACAGTATCGCTGCACAGGTGTGGAAATTGAGCTCATGTGACATGTGCGAATTGGCTCGTAATTCTGTTCTTATGTCGGGATTCCCGCACGAGGTAATCTATTAAAAAAAAAATTAACAGAGAATTAGGGACCATTTGATATTTTTACCTTTTGTGATACGTAGTGAGGACTACAAAATGCGATATTTGTCAAAACTTTTCAAGTCTGAAGGAGTTCAAGGGGCTTAGCTATTCATACTAGAAATCATATATACATTACAGCAATAAGAACATACAACGTCAACAATACCGTGTATATTGCACTACACATAACCGAATATTAGTTTGTTTTAAATTGTATATAGCGCCATCTGCTTTTTAATTTTCATACTAAATTATTTGTGAGGGACTAGAGTGTACCTTTCAAATTTCATTCGCATATTTGGTTCTGGTTAAAATTTAATGTATAAACTTCCAGATGAAACAATACTGGTTGGGCCCAAACTACACAAAGGAGGGTGTAGCTGGTAATGATATTACACGAACAAACGTACCGGACATACGCATCTCCTTCCGCTATGAGACGATCCTCGACGAACTTACTAACATATTTAAGGTAAGTCAAAATTATAGTAAGTTTTTAATATGAACATACACAAAACTTACATAACACATATTAGCAAGAATTAATGTTTCAATTTATTGAGATAATTTCTTATTTTACCACACTTTTAAGCTTTATCTATATGAAACACAAAAGTCATAATCATTATCTATTGAACTTATTTATCTATTATTATATTATTTACTTATTTATTTACAACACAGAACAAAATACACCTTATAAACTATCAATAGCTTGGGTAAATTAAATGAACAAACTATGCTTAAAAAATACAGTATTTGTTGCTTGTTGTTCTTGTTTGTATTAATTATTCGTTTTCGTCCCTAACAATGTGTTGTGTTCTCATCTAATCATTATCAATTCCAATCACATGACCCAATTTGTTTGAAAATTGTTTGAAAACATGAATACCTAGGATTGAATGTATTACAGGATGGAATGTCGACCCGCTGAACATCCACAAGATTACAGTGGATGGGACGAGTGTTTTTAATCATAATTCTATATTCCATTGTTTAATATTATGTATATTTAACAACGCAAGAGATTTCTGTAATAAAAAATATTTAGTTTGAGAAATAGACAACCACAATTTTTGCTCAATTCTACAGAATTTATTTTTTTGGCCGATGCCAAAACAAACTTACAGAAATGTCTATAATCATTGTGTCATCTCAAATAAGGTTTTTTGTTTATACCATCAGGACATTTTTTTCATATTGGGAATTGTATCACTTTTTACATTATTAAATATATAGGTTACATGTTATCAAGAATAAAGATAATTGCTTAAAATGCCCCAATTGGTATTAAATAAGATTTTTTAATGTGATATTTAGTTGAGGCTAAAGTCGGTGCCATTTTTACAGTTTAAAATTTTGTTCGTAGCTTTTTATATATCGGGTTTCATACTTCATTTTGATGTTGTACACTATTATATATATAGGTATATTAAGTTTAAACATTCGTTGTTTTGCTAACTATTATTATGGTAGGTACTAAAAATCTCTAATAATATTTGCGCAAAATTATTATTACTGCTTACGTTTTCAATGATTCAGTCAATGAACCATCGTTAACAAAGTGCCTCCAAAGACGAATAATATAGATAGAATACCGTTAATAAATAATTTATTTTCTATTGTTAAAATTAGAGTTAAGAGGTCCTAGACATTGTGTTAGTTAAAGTCAACTATTTCAAAATATCTTGTACTAAATGCTTAATCTTTGAAAACCATTGTTCATTTTTATCTAAATGATATTGAATGTTTAAATGCCTACATTATTTATTATCTTGTAATAATTATCCCCAACCCTGGATAAAACCATACCTAAATGTTTAATGTCCTTAATTAATTTACTTGTTGTTTGTGCTTTTGAATCTTTGCTTGGGGTTCATACTAAGTTATCATGACTGCTTTCAAAGAGAATATCAACCGAACGAAAATAATCTTTTCTATTAGTCCATATAATCGCAGAAGAAAACAATATTTTTCTTGATAAGTTGTCATGGTAACTAAGGATTTATTGCTATTTGAAATAAGTAATTACGACAGAGGTCAGGACAGGCCACGTATAAAAAGGTTTTTTTTTACAGTTTAATGAATTAATTTTAAATTAAAATGTCATAGCCAATATTGTTTTGATACAATGGCAGATTGACACATATACATAATGTAGGTACTCTATTTATTCTTGACAAAAAACTTCGTATACGCGAAGCTTAGTAGTAATTTAATTATAAAGGCATAACGGGAATGTATTAAAACAATAACCAATTTACAATACAATACACATTATTCGTAAAATGAATGTTACATTGTTGGAAATAAAAGTGCTAATCACAATTCTTTCTTATTATTACACGCTTCTATATAAAACTTAGTCTACAGACTTTCAACTTAATTCTGACAGTTACCCCAGATTGCAAATATTATTGCAATCTGAGGTAGCAATACAAATATTCCACAGATCTATAGACACAATTAGCTTCTTAAAATTAGATAGATTCTTTTTGAATATTCAGTAGCGGGTAGGCTTGTATATTATTTTCAGTTAATATTATTTTTTTATGCTTTAGATAAAGAGGAGTGGGACGCCTATTCCCTACTAAGGCACTTGTCGTTAAAGTAAGCCAAACGTTTGCAAAATCATTAATCCTTATAATAAAGAACTTTTTTGGAATTGCAAATTTTTGGAATCCTGTTATTAACAGTCGAAAAGATGCATGTCTTCCTCTCAATGTCGTTCATAAACGACTTCATAATATATCTTATCATGATATCTGATCTATACCTATATGTTGTTCGTGTTGATTTTTCATACCAAAAATATTTATTCGAAAAGCGACGTCACTAACCAAATCACCAAACCAATCTTTTAACCCAAGAGAAACAAGAGATAATCTCAGTGTCTTCGAATACAAAACTTCTCATTAACAACATCGGATTTTCATACTACCCACATTTGTAAGTCAATGAATAATAGAGTACGACTTGCAGGCAAGACAAGCTTACCACGGTCTGCCGAATGGGGTCCTCGCACCACCATCAACACCACCACCACCGGACATGAACGTGCCCGTTAGTCTAAAATGACCTTTCCTTGTGTAATTAATATTTAGATAAACACACTACCCCAAAGTTTCCTACCTAAGTAGCTCCATCAGTTTAAAGTCAGTCTTCAAAGTGTCTAATCGATACATAATTTTATTTTATTTCTTTTGTTCGGAATGCAATAGATTTTTCTATATCCAGATATTGGTAGAAGTTTGTTAGTAATGTTATGGTAACATTATTTTTTATTTTTACAGATTGTCATTATTCATTATTGTAATCAGATTTATAATTTTAATAAAGATTTTATATTATACCTGTGTTTTATTTATACGTACTGCTGTGCGTGTTACCTTTTATAAATACAAGTTATAAATACACTTTTATAATTTCTTCGGACTTAGAGATTTGTGGCTCAATTTTATTTATCTTGATTGTAATGTGCCTAACTTAAAACGGGACTCCAATAATATATCGTAACAAAATATAGTACTTACCCATGGACGATAAAGTCCCTTGACATATTTTGACGTCTATGCCAGAAATGTGAATTTTTATATTCAGTAACATGTAAAAACACAAAAAACTAAAACAAATATAAGCTAATTATAACGGATCATGATTTGGAAATAACTTCACAATGTTTGGCACCCACCAAGACTATAAACATTGGAAAGAGTCACAATCGTAAGGAAAATATTTAATACTAGCATTCCTTTAAGAACTTGGTTGTCGTTGGATTCATAAAGTAAATAAACAGGACCAAGCGATTGCAAGACAGTAAAATTTATTTTGGCTTAAACGGAATTGTGTGGTTAAACATTGACAACACGGGCTGGACTTGACTTGGCACCCACGGCATTCCATACTGCTGCTTTTTTGATTTTTTAACCATTTCTACTCGTATATGCACCTCTCGCATGTGCATTATCTCCTGAAAACATCGTAAAATTGTCGTCTGTCATCGTAAGAAATCATTCGTCGTCATCGTAAAACTCGTTAAAAAAATTTGTCATAATTACTATCACAAAGTATAAATAAGGCATAATAAAGGCGGCTGGCTTTATTGATGATTTGTCCGAGCCTTGCCTGGTACGCCGTTAAAAACTCCTTATCTATTTACTTTATTTATTAATAAACACGAAATCGTATCTATCAGATATCGTGTGGAAGAAAGATTTATGCAACCAACTTATTAGTCTAAACCACACTTATAAAATCACCTCTTGTTTATTTAATAATTTATAGAAATCTGGGCCCCAACATGGCATCAGCCAGGTTGCTCGTCCGGGGACCTGGTGATGGAAGAGGTCGCAACATAGTACCGTTTCAGCGAGTTTCAGTCTGCGGTATTCATGTTACTGGGGTACTAATTATAACCTTCTTACCCTCAAAATAATCAAAAGATAACCGAATAAGTTAGATTAGATTTTATCTTGTATTTAGGATTTATCTTTTACTCAAAAAGCTCAGTCAACTACTGTTAGTAGTTTACGCGAGTTCTCATTAAAATAAAACACATTTAACGGTTTACAAATTGTATTAGCTAATTTATTTAAGAAATATTTAAACTATGGCTCGATATTTCGGATGCTTGATTTTTACAAACAAAGCACTAGATCTCCAAAAATAGCATACCGGTCATCGCGAGGACACCATCAGTCCGTACTTCGCGTTTTAAACCGTTAAAAGTATTTTATTTTTAGATGAGCTTTTTAAGTAAAATTTCTATTAAATAGTAATTTGTAACTATTAACCTTCATAGCTAAGTTTTATAATTAAACACAAATATAAAATTATATAGACGACACGGGACTTAAATTGGCATCCATACCGATTAAGTAGCACAATTGGTTGGTGGCAGTTCAAGTCCTTTTCGTGTCGTCAATTTTTTTAAATATAAATAGATTTTTAATTCATAACGCCATCATGTGGAATGAAAAACTCGTTAAAAATAGTAGAGCTTTAAGATTAAAAGATTTTTCATTCCCTCATAATATAATTTTTAAGGTGCCATTTGATGAGTTGGTGCGTTCTGCTGAACTGTTAATAAATGCTCTCAACCTTCGCCGCAATTACATGGATATTTCTCACCAATCATTCCCGACTGGTCTCGCATATTATTTGGACCATCACGAAGCACCCCCCAGACCAACTTTTAAACAGAGCTCGGTAGACTATGGTGGGGCTGTGCTTAAGTTTGATAGTTAGTGCTATGTATTATTAATACTCGTAGAATATTTAGTCCTAATCTTTGACAGACTAGTGGAACTTTTTCTATTTAATTTCTTATAGCATCTTTAAAGCAGTTTTGTGGTCTAATCTAAAGGCAGTTTAAGTAGGTAATTTATAATTATGACATTGCTAGTTTAGAACTATTTATTTTGTACCATTTAAAACTGAGACATAATATAAGTCTTTCAAATCTAGATGCTTATATTTCTTAGATAAGGATTCTAGCTAATTTCCCAACCTGCATGTTTTGGCTCTTGCTGTAAATGCTTTATGGATAAATGAATAAATAAGATTAACTAATACAGGTGCAAAGGCAGACCAGTATATAAAATTATCGACATGCTCCTCCGAAGAACTGTGCAATGCGATCCCATTGAGGGAACATGAGAGCCGATCTGAACATCATAGTAAGTTTGTATCATCTAAATGATGAAACCTGATGTATACACCTTATGTAGTAAATAAACGCTCGGTAAGTTGTTATATAACTTCTGTTCTGTCCACAGTGCATATGACTGGAACCATAATGACAATTAAAGCCGGTACTCATCGCGAGTCTTGTGATAGTCAGGAGGACTTGGATCGCTTTTTAAAAGCATCTGGTAAGTGTTTTTTTATGACATTGTTATGTTAAAAATATGAGACAGTGAGGTTGTACCAACCATTTTTACGCCGAACTTACGAATACTCTAAATAAAAAATTATCTATCCCATATCGAAATCTGCATATTTTTTTATTGAAAGATGACTCAAGCCTTTATGAACTAAATCTGTTAAAAACTAAATACTTTTAACCGTTTAAAACGCGAAATGTGTTACTTACGGCTGATGCAAATCATCTGAAACGTCAAGCCGTACTTAAAATTAATTGTCGATAAATTAACTAATACAGTGCGCGTTTTCTTAAGTGTTTTATTTAAACTAAAATAAATTTGATATCACATAGATGCCTGGACATGTTATGTGCCGCCTGACAGCAAGTACCTCTATCGTTGGGAACGTGGTGTGGTCCAAATATACCGGAATGAAGAGGACATGATAGCACGACACCCGCTTAATTACCGGAATGTTACCTTTGTTAAGTATGTGGAGGATTTGTCGCGTCTCTCAGACATGATCGCTGATGGTCCACTGTAAGTTTAGAGCTTTCTTCTTCAAGCTTAAGAACTTCTAGCAGATTCGAAGCTCTAAAACCTGGAAAAATGACAGACATTTTTCCAGCATGATGTTCTACCAATGTCATGAATGTTCTACCTAACTCTAAATCTTAAATACTGTCTGTAGTTTACGCGAGTAGTACACATTGCAATAAAACACTAACGGTTTAAAACGCATAATATATTAGTGAAACTTATTTGAAAATTATTTAACTATCGGACCGTAGTTAAAATAATTTTCAAAGTGTTTCGCTTCGTTCGGATACTTTGCAGCAACCGTGGTCAAGGGGAGACCTTTTCCCCCCCGGGCAGACCCCGAAAATATTTTAAAATAAGTTTTATATTAATATATTTCGTGTTTTAAACCGTTAAAGTGCTTTATTGAACTATATATCTAACTAAACTTGTTTCAGCAAATCGTTCTGTTATCGTCGCTTGAGTTACCTGTCTTCGAAATTTAAAATGCATGTTCTTCTAAATGAACTGCACGAGTTGGCATTACAGAAGGCAGTTCCACACCGTGATTTTTATAATATTAAGTAAGTGTGACTTAGCGTTATGTGTACATTAATTGCTTATTTATTTATACACACACCATTAGAGCAGACCGCCTTCATGACATTAAAAATTAAAATAATATATGTATATGCGTGAGGATTTATAAATAACAAGCTGTGCCCACGACTTTATCCGCGTCCCGTTCTTGCTAGCTAATCATAGAAAACATACTGACATGGATATTTTATTAACTTCATTAAAAGAGGAATCTGTCATTCGTACATAGTTTTGGTTTCTCAAACCATTTTCGCAGCGCACGCAACGGTTAAGCTTCCAATATATGAATAATTTTTCCCGTATTTTCCATATTTTCCACTATTTCTTCCAGTGTCTTCTAGTCACACCGTAATATTATATAGCCTTCTGTTATAATGTCTTCCTTGATAAATGGCCTATCGATATTATATCATAATTAGTAGATATTATCATTTAAAATAGACACAAATTAACTATTAAATATATTACGCATATAAATTAACATAACGTTTTGATAATTTTTGTAAAGAGGGAAGTGAATATGGTAGAGACAATTAAATTGGTTCTCTCACTTTCTAGAAAAGTAGACACACATATTCACGCAGCATCAAGCATGAACCAGAAGCACCTTCTGCGTTTCATCAAAAGGACACTGCGCAGCTGTGCTGATGAAGTAGTAGCAGTTCATAGAGGAATTCCTAAGACCCTAAGATCTGTGTTTGAAGAGATGAACCTAGATGCTTACGATTTGAATGTTGACCTACTCGATGTCCATGCGGTTAGAATATTTGACCTATTAGCAAATTAAATGCTATAACACAAATCTTTTTCTTTTCTTAATGCACATTTTATTATATTATGTACGCAATCTAAAATTGTTTTCTGGCACTTATTTTCACGCGCAATTGTCTGTTCCTGAGATTAGCGCATTCAAACATACAACAAACTCTTCAGCTTTATATATTAGTACCTTTATACTCAATATAGGTACATATGTAACTATGCTATTTAGGGAACATTAGTCCAAAGATTGTCCGCCTCTGTAGCCAAATGGTTAAACGTATTGCCGAGCTTTGCGTTAAGCGCGAGAGCTCATGGGTTCGAATCCCAGGGAAACATAAAATTATTTCAGTCGGGCAGGGCACAGAAGTCTGATCAACTATTTGCCCGTTAAAACAACGGATCAGTAAAACGGATACAGAAATGTGTTCGCCCCATGCCCCACGAGGGGAAAACGGACTTTCACACGTTCACTTATTCCACAGATGATTGTCGTAATAACCCTGAGACAAAAACAGTTTGTATTTTATATGACTTTGTTTCGTATGACAGGACAGAAACACATTCCATCGCTTCGATAAATTCAACGCTAAATACAATCCCGTCGGTGAAAGCAGATTGAGAGAAGTCTTTCTCAAAACCGATAACTATATGAATGGGACATATTTCGCGAGGATAATCAAGGCTAGTAAAATCATCACATCACATTTTCTCATCAATGGCCAGCGGGTAAGGAAATAAACTAACAGTAAACGTGTAGGAAGTATTTATATACACTTTACAAGCAAATTAATCTGTTGTATTGCTGCTACTCATTACAAAGTAGAAAAACATCAGATTGATTTGCTTCTAAGTAATCATTCAGCATCACCAAATCCCTTACTAGTGGCGGATTTATACTTAAGCCAACGCTGACCTGGGGCACAGCACCATCCCCGGGCGCATCCATTGTGCGGTAATGGCGACGAGTTCAAGTTGTTTTAAGGAGATCTTAAATACCAGACAACTCACATAAACGTCTTAATGTGAAAAAATACCTCTTAGTATGAATACAAACTCCTCTTTAGGTGAAATTTAAAAGAAGTTTCTTGCTGTGTAAAGCCGAGCCATTATTGCACAAGACAATTGTAGACTAAGTGTGGCAAAAACTCCATACATTACTCCGTGAAAATATGGAAATCCGACACTGACCTATATTTATTGCCACTGCTGAGATTTTATATATTTTTGCTGCATATACTCGAGTCAAAACAATCTATTTCAAGTTAATAAATTTATCTTAGGAGGTAATAGCAGACTTGGAAGAGAATAAGTACACATACGTGGAGCCCCGCATCTCCATCTACTGTAAGAGTATGTCCGAATGGAGTAAACTTGCATCATGGGCCCTGCGCAATGATGTCCACTCTTCCCATGTGCGGTGGTTGGTGCAAGTGCCTAGACTGTAGTAAGTCATTTGAGTAATGTTACCTATCTAGGTATCTCTGTACCACCAGCGCGGTAGAACATATTATTTCAACACCTAACCTGGTTAAAATCAACGGCTGGGTACGCTCCCCACCAGGTCCAAAATGTTTCAAATTTTCAATTGTATTTTGTGTGGCTCGTATTGAATTTGCGTGGGGTAGAGAAATTACGTCCGGGTCACGAGCACGTCAAGAAAAAGGCCGCAAGCGCTCATGTTTCGGACGCTTGTGTTTTGTTATCTGTTCTAGAGGTTTCTTCACCATAGAATTAAAGTAAATAATAAAGATATATTTAGTAATTTAATCGAGATCATCTTAATTCTGAATTCGAATATACTTATTTTATTTCAGTGACATCTACCGCATCAACAACCTGCTGAACAACTTCCAGGAGTTTCTGAACAACCTCTTTGATCCACTTTTCCAAGTATCAGTCAACCCACAATCGAATATTGAACTTCACAAATTTTTAACGGTAAGTACTATTAAAATAATTACTGTTATCTTATAATAAACAACCTACAAGTTCAGAAGTGTCAAAGTATGTTTAATATCAGAAACAATAGCAAAGGTATACATGAAGATATGTTAATTAAATAGATAACTACAAATTACATGTATAGTTATTTTTATTTGGACGATGTAGGTATATTAATAATATAAAGCTTTTAGATATAACTTATAGCATAAATAAATAAATTTACATATTTATATTTTACGAATGGTTTTAGTAGTACCTAATTCATTTTTTTTTATTTTCTCTATTGAAACTATTATCAAGATAGAAATAGAAAAGATATTATGTTGTAGTTATGATTATGATTTATCCACAGCATGTGATAGGTTTTGACAGCGTGGACGACGAATCAAAGCCAGAGAATCCAATTCTTAGCGAAAACATGCGAAGTCCAGACGAATGGAATGATGAAGAGAATCCACCATACGCTTATTACCTGTACTATATGTATGCCAATATGGTTACTCTGAACCAACTAAGAAAGTACGTAGTAGAGAAGAGGTTTTAAAAAAATCCTCCATACATTCTCATTGCTTTCAATTCTTCATTAGAGGTTGTATTTATGAGATGTTCTTAAAATTAACTATAAATTAAAAATCGATTTTGGATTGACAAAAAGGGACTTGAAGCGGTATCTACATGTTTCGTACCGCTGCTCTATTCAATCGAGCTATCATGTCCTACATGTCATCGACGAATTTTGTAAACCTATTCATACATGCACCTCCCGCGCAATGTAATTTCTACCCTCTCTCTACATACACTTGCGTGTTATGGCGATTTTTATAATGCCATCATGTGCAATAACATGTGAAAAATATTTAAACTATGTTTAGAGAGCGCGGTTTAAACACCTTCGTGCTTCGCCCCCATTGCGGGGAAGCTGGACCTCCGTCTCATCTAAGCGCCGCATTTTTGCTGGCTGAGAATATTTCACACGGGCTTATATTAAGAAAGGTGAGAGTTACCGTCTTTATTTTTGGCTGGCTGGCTGCTAATATTTACGGCAATGAAGCCACGGTGTTTATGTTATAAAAATAACGAATAAGCCTTTAATATATTTTTTTTTTAGGCAAGACAGTATTACTTTTCCTATTAGCTATTAATAATTATTAACCATAACTACTTATGCTCACCACTTAGACTGCTTCCAGTCTTTCTTACAAGTTAATATTAAACGATAGACATAAACTGTGGTGGCAATTTACTTAGATTATTTAAAAACGAATGTTTTCGCATTACACGCACCGGAAGCCCGTAATGTTTCAATTAGAACCCGTAATTCCTGAGATTAGTCCGTTCAAACAGACTTTACTGCTATGATATTAGTATATTTTTTAATTTCATCACCTCCAGGTGCCAGCTCTTCAATATGCTTATTATTTAGCCCAAATCTACATCGCCATGTCGCCACTCAGTAATAATTCACTCTTCCTGAGATACCATCGGAATCCGTTGCCGGAATATTTTGAGCGCGGACTCAAAGTTACACTTAGCACTGACGATCCACTGCAGTTCCATTACACAAAGGTTGTTTACATTTAATAATTGGTTATTCTTACGAATTCTTATTACCTTTCAGATTTTTATGGGCTCATTAGTATAATGATAAAAAGTAGGCTAATCAAGGTTGTAGGTTGAATCCCTACTGGCTCCAACATGTTTCTGATCATTTAAGTAAAACACTTTAACGGTTTAAAACGCGATATATTAGTTAAACTTATTTGAAAATGATATTTAACTTGGGGGGGGGAAAAAAAAAAAAAAAAAAAAAAAAAAGGGGTTTTTTTTTTTTTTTGGGGGAAAAGGGGGGTTTTTTTTGGGGGGGGGGGGGGGGGGGGGGGGGGGGGGGCGTTTTTTTAGATTTCTATATATTTATTTGTTGAATTATTTTGTGACAGGAGCCCCTGATGGAAGAATACAGCGTAGCGACGCAAGCATGGAAATTGAGCACTTGTGATATGTGTGAACTTGCTAGGCATTCTGTCATCATGTCTGGGTTTCCAGATGAGGTAAAATCCAGCAATCATTAAATTAAAAATCGATTTTAGACTGAAAAAAAATTCGACACGGCCAGTACTTGAACCGACACTCACAGCGTTTCATGTGTTGCTCTAACAACTAGAGCTACCGCGTCCTACACTTCATCGTCGATTTTTTTCGGCCTATTGATACAAGCACCAAAATAAACAAAACAAATTAATTAAGCTAAGGACAACCGGCGGCTTTCTTCCTAAATAGCTATCTCTTTCAAACAGCCGAGATATAAATGGAAACACAGTAATAAGAGATATGCGCTTAATCTAACCTTCATTACTATCTTAACTAAGAAATTAAATTGAAAAAATGTTCGCCTTGGGCAGGACTTGAACCGGCATCGTCAGCGTTCCGTGCTGTTGCTCTACCAATTGAGCTACCGAGTCCTACACCTCATCATCGAATTTTTTCAACTTATTGATACATGCACCTTAATAAAGTTTTCATAAATTAAAAATTGTAAAACTTCTGGCGATCAGTTGGATGGGTATCAAGCATAGCTCTATGACTAATTAAAATTATTTCAGATGAAACAACACTGGTTAGGACCAAATTATAAACGGGAGGGGCCGGAAGGTAATGACATCACTCGCACTAATATACCGGACTTGAGACTCGCGTATCGACACGAAACTCTACTTGACGAGCTCGATAATCTCTTCAAGGTAAATTATTCTCAATATTACATACGTTATTAATAAATCACAAGAAATATAAATGTCACTTTCGACGGCTTTGACAATCCAGTAGAAGTATCAGAGATTAAAAGTCCCTGACATGGACTTATTATGATTTTGACTGTACCAATAAATTGTAAAACAATTGTGGAACGATTGTGTGAATTAATTCAACACATTGTTCTGTTTTCAATTAGAAGCGACTGGTTTTATTAGTAATAAATAAACAGCCTCTATAGCACAACGCGCAATCTTAAAGGTAGATTATACAGTTGAAATAGGAACAGTTGCACATAATTCTGTATGTAAATAAAAATGTCTTAAAGTTTAACGCTATGTTCCTATTTTTATCCAACGTTATTTTTTGCCTTTGCAGGGTGTAACGTGAATAAGAAAATAACACGTTTATTCAGAATCTTTATATTTACAATAACAATAAATAGATCTTTCGAATACTGTATTTTAATTTTTAAACCTAACTGTAGATCCTAGACTAAAACCCAGTAATAGACCTAATGGCCTTTTCTTCGTCGTACGGCACCATTTGTCGATTGGAATGGAACTCCATAGTGAATGTAGCTAGGCCCGAACTGAGTGAGCGAAGAGTTGAAGAATAGCCTACCAGTTCTGATAGAGGAGCTATACAGTCTATGACCTGAAATAGATTATTTTATACTTAATCTAATAAACATATTAGGGAGCTTAAGTAGATTTCAGCTCCATAAGGTATGTACTACACACTGCATTACAAAAAATAGATAAACCATGAAATTATGCTAGTAACACTTATTTAGACCTTTTCTTACTAAGCATACTATTCAGAAGAGTTACAACAGATGTTTTATCCACTCGTGATAATTAAACGTCAAAAAATCTCAAATGCGATGGTCGAACTAAGCGCTTTAACTATAAATTACCTTATTTTCATGTCGTAAGTGTATATGCTGAATATCAGCACGTCGCCTCGCCAGGTCAGCCATTACTCGGGACGAGTGGCTTTCTGGAACAACAATCTGCAGCGACATAACAGGTTCCAGCAGTGTACTACCACTCAACTCAAAGACCTGGAAAAACACTTTTATTGAGTAACTAGTTACGTAACGAGAGGGTAGTTTAGGAACACACCGGTTTGAAAAGGCATTTCTACCTTCCGAAGACATTGTACAGTTGCAGCTGTCACAGCTGTATCTGACGTACCGCGGCCGACTTCAAGCCAGTGTAGAGTCGCTTGTACATCTACTACCTAAAATCAGAAAGGTGTACGTGAGAAATATTTATTTATAAATAAAGAGTCGTTACAAAAATAATAATTACACAATACAATAATATACAACAAAGACTGTGTCGAACATTATTTTCGGTGTAATGTTAAATAATTCGAATCTTATGGAAACAATAATGCCTAGTTCCGGTCAGGAAGAGAACAAGTGCGAGTCAGAATCTCGCACAAAGGGTTCCGTAGAATTAACTAGATATATATGCAATTTTTTAATCTAGATTCAGTGGACTGTGACAATATTACCGGACAGCCAAGCTTAGGTCCATGCATAATTGCTGTTTGAACGCCACGTAAAATCGCCTGCTCGTACCGAGGGTGAATATGGGATAAGTTAGCCGCGCTCTCAGCTGTTTTGTCGAATCTGTTTACAAAAAATCATTAATTACAGTACTGCTTTGCGAAGTTTCGGATCCTTTGCAGCAGCCGTGGTCATGGGGAGATCCGTGACCACGGCTGCTGCAAAGGATCCGAAACTTCGGACCGCAGTTAAAATTATTTATAAAAATAACTAATACATTTCGCCTTTTAAGCTGTTAAGTGTACTACTTGCGTAAACTACAGACTGTATTTGAAAAAAACGTGTGTGTTTTTAACTATGACCTGACGTTTCGAATGCTCTGTAGCCGCCGTGGTCATGGTCCGTTCACCGGTAGGTTTCGCTTTTTAAACGGTTATAAGTGTTTATATAAATGTATACTAGGTAGGGTAAGAATTAGAATACTTGTTATCTTTGGTGAAAAAATTCCTCTGTAGCGCAATGTAGTTCGCATTGTGTTAAGGGCAAAGGTACTGAGTTCAATCCCAATGATACATAATAAAAGTATCAATCAGTGAAAAAGACTTGTAAATTATGCCCCAAACCCCATGTATGAAAATTATGGATGAACTGTTTGATTAAGCGACTTTATACTTAAAAGGTAAATATTATTAACACAAGGAAACGTACTTCAAAATTTTGTCCTGTGCAACACCCTTAACCGTTTTGGCGGACAAAATGATTTTCACTTGTTGCCTCGCGCTGCCGATCTTTCGATCGACACTCTGCGTATACTTCGAAGTACCAAGAAGAGCCTCTTTGTACGCTATCTGAGGCGGGCCCAGTTCGACATCTATTTTATATTCACGAATGATTCGTTCCTTTATTATTTCCAAGTGAAGCTCGCCCATACCTAGAAGTAGTAGGAAATATCCTTATTTATAGGCTTTATTATGTAAACAAAATGATTATATCATTTTATATAACATCGTTTCGTTTGTATAAAATATTGTGGTAAGAATCGCACCTGATTGTATGTATAATTTCCAAGAGTAAATTCTTTAAACCTATAATAAAATATGTATATTTTTTAAACTAGATAGTTTACGCTCTCTTTTGTCTAATTGTCGAATTAAATAAATATTTATAAATCAATTATAGATTGAAAAATACGAAACGGGCAGGCCTTGAACCGCCATCCACAGCGTCATTGTCGATGTTTTTAAAACTATTGTTAGATGCACCAGAGCGCTCGTATTCAATTACCAGCTAACACCATCTGCCCAGTCTCTTCATCACTAGAGACACGAAGACTAGGGTCTTCCCTCTGCAATTCCTCTAGAGCCGTCTCCAAAGCCGTCTGGTACGCCACGCTCGGTGGTTCTATTGAGCACAGAAATACAGGATCTGGGATCATGGTACCTATAGGGAAATTAAATTATTTATCATGTTGCACCTTAATGTAATATGTTTAAGGTCGATAGTTATACTATATGTTGTGATCATATGGCAAAATACAAGCTATTTACTAGCTGACCTGGTAAACGTTCTTTTGCTGTATAAAATGTTTCGACTACTAAACGTTTTTTATGAGTTAATCTCTAAGAACTTAAAACTAGACATATTTTTTGATTATTTAATAGAGAATAATCTTGTACATATTTTGGGTATCTTTTCCGCAGCGAACGCAAAGTAAACCTCCAAAGATAAATAGCTTTTAATTTTTACTATTTCTTACGGTTCCTTAGCTGCTATTAGTTGTAATGTTTAATAGCCAAGCCTTTCTCGATAAAGGTTCCAAACAATACAAAAAATATTTTTAAATTCGATCTAATAGTTTCTGAGATTAGTGCGATCAAACAAACAAACTCTTTAGCTTTATAATATAGGTTTTACGCCGATAGACCATATAACTGAGACCAAAGATGATCTTATAATATATATTACGTTGAACTTCATAACATCGTTTTACCAATTCCCAACAATAAGTCAGCTATATCGTCTATAGTAGGATCTTCGATAGTCTGCAATCGTTGTTTGGCACTAGGCACTAACAATTCTTCAATTTGTTTAGGATTCTTTAGTACTTCTCTTAGCCTCGACTTGGCGCGACTGGCTGCAGAATTTGTTGAAGTTATAAGATCTCCTGTCATTGTTGCCTGTGATAAAAAATAGCAATTTAGCTGTCACCAGCTTGATGGTTGCTGACCTTCAACAGGTTGTGGCTTCGATTCCCACAGCTTCCAACATGTTACTAACACTTTTTGATAGCATACTGTACTTCGTCTGTACTACACTGTACTAAATATCAAATACGTGGTAGAAATATCGAAATTCCGTCTGCGTCACGAACCACGGATGAAAAAGACGTGAAGTTCCATCGCGTTTCGGTTTCAGTCTTTGGACCAAACTCAAAGTAGGTCGACAACGCACCATCAAAAAACTATAAGCTTTATACAAACTATACATTACGAATTCAAAGTTATATTGCTTAATCTGTAAATAGTAAATGATGATTATGAAATTAGGTTTCTATATAACTTGACTGTTACCCTACATTCACTATCGGATTCTACTTACTTTTAATGAACTCACGACAGCAATGTTGCCCGCTGTCACTACATCTACAGGCTTATATTCGTCTGCCAACGCAACATATAGGGCGCCTGTCTGAAGTAATCATACAAACACATTAAATTAAACATTGATATTATAATAAAAAAACCGTTTTCCCCTGTGGACCATGGGGCGAACATATGTTGTATGTGGAGTCTGTTGTCTAATTGAACAGACTTCTGTGCCCTGTCCAACCGAAAAAACTAATATATCGCGTTTTAAACCGTTAAAATGTTTTATTAAAAAGTGTACTACTCGCGTAAACGAAGACAGTACCTTAGTCACTTTAAAATATACCTGTTCACTTATATCTCTGGCAATGTTGTAGATCTTCTGCGCTTTAGTAAACTCTCCGCCGTATAGTCTAAAGAACGTCAACACACCTCTTTGATCATCATGTTGTACTTTAAATGCCCGAGCGCACAAATCTCCACCAAAACTCTTCTGTAACTTACTACCTTCCATAGGATTTGGTAAGTAAGATATCACTCCATCCATCAGAGTCTGAACACCAATATTTTTATATGAACTGCCGCATAACACTGGATACGCTGTCATTTTCAAAGTACACCGTCTTATAGCATTTATGATATCTTTGGGAGCAAAATTGTCCAATGTTTCTTGTTGTATGATTATTTCAGCTAACTCGTCATCTAATGAGGAGAGTGTGTCTATGAGTTGTCTATGATCAGATGTTGCCAATTCCCATTTATTTCCATCAGTAGATTCAGTAAGCTTTCGTCGTGTGTAATTTTGTCCACGACCAGAGCTCCACACTACTTCTTCTAGAGACACTAAATCTATTAGACCTGTTAACAGTATCAAAATATTTAATAAATAACTCCAAACCAGATTTACCTCATAAAATTATACCTACATTTCTATTAATTATACCAACATTTGGGGGGACCCCCCTGGGGGGCCGGTGATCAGAACACATTATCAGCCACCCATTTCACCTATTTCTCCTTGCAAAGGTTTCGGGTCATCCCATTATACCGACATTTATAATAACTAAAGTACAAGTAACTCAGTAGTCAGTAGATAAAAATTGTATCTTACCAACTAGTTTTCCGTCATGTACTACTGGAGCATGCAACATCAATGGTGTTACTCTAAGCTTATCTCTAATTGATTGTTCACAGACTTGTACATCAGCATCGGCTCTGTCCATCTTATTGAGATATATTATCCGTGGTACGTGGTAGCCATTTGATTGCCGCCACACGGTCAATGTTTGAGCTTCCACCCCTGGTAAGAATATAATATTGTTTTAAAATTTTCAGTATGAACGAAGATTGCAGAATAAATAAATAATCTCACCAGCTGAAGCATCCATTACAACAACCCCTCCATCTAATACTGCCAAGCTCTGCTCCACCTCCATTGTAAAGTCAATGTGTCCAGGTGTATCTATTAAATTAATTTGATACCCATTCCACGGAAATGAAACTGCTGCGGCTAAAGAGAAAAATTAAGGAGTAATGTTGAATATTAACATAGATACAAGTTATAGAGGAAAAATTCAAATTTTAAAAATCTCAGACGCGGATTGTTGGTGTTTCTATCAATTTAAAGAACTTACAAGTGATAGTTATGCCTCTTTGCCTTTCTTGCTCCATGTAATCAGTAACGGTATTACCATGATGCACTTCTCCCATGGATCTGATAGTTCCAGAGTAGAAAAGCATTCGTTCTGTCGTTGTAGTTTTGCCTAAATAATAAGATATTTGTTTTATTATTTAATTGCCATAAGGTATATGTAAAATTATTTAATGACCAATGTTAATACAATATTTAATTTACTTTTAAATTTCAAGCTTTCAAACAGAAATAAATACACTCAAACATCAAGCTCAGGAATCCTAACCTGCATCAATGTGTGCTAGAATGCCGATATTCCGTATTTTGTCCATTTTCGTCTGATCTGCTCCCAAAGAGCTACAATAGGTGCGGATATACCCATGTTTGATTAGTTTCCTATAGTAGTTCAAAATGGTATATGTTTTCATGCTTATAACTATTTTTCGGAATATTGACTTTTTAAAACTAGCCTTTGCATAACTCACAAAATCAAAATCAAAACATACACCAGCTGATCCACATCTTTTTTTGACACATTGTATGACTTGGGACCAAGTTTATTCACCGGTGATGCCTTAATTAAGCCAAGTTATATACAGTTTTTTGTATTACCTTTTCGTCCCTCATTCAACATATTTAAAATGCGGTTTAACGATTTAGAAAATGAGTAAAATTTTATCACGCTATTTTGTTTATCAACCGAATTTTGATTCGGTTAAAGTACAGATGAATGATATATTTTTATACGTCTGTGGTCCATCGCGTTCCCGGTGTGACACATACATATTACATAGACTGTAACAATGGCACCTGCGTCGATTTGTTTGTGTTGAATACGTGACAATTAAAAACAAATTAATTATTACTCTCTAAATTGAAACAGTGAATTAAAGTGGGCACAAAATGGGAGTTCCAGCATTCTTCCGCTGGCTCAGTCGAAAATATCCCAGTGTCATTGTCGAGTGTATTGAACAGAGGGTACGTAACAATGTAACCTAAAATAGTAAAATGTATCTTGTTTTTACATTTCTATGTTTCATTCTTCATTAAAGATTAAAACACTTATTATACGGTTACTTATTATTACTTAGTATACATATAGTATATGGTTATGGCGTCTTAAACCTGGAACATGTATTTCATATCTCAAAAAGGTTTACACTTTGCCTTAAAGTTGTAGGGCAAGTTCCCGTTTCGTGTTTATGTGTAGTAATAACAATTTTTACTTGTAGCCAGTCGACGTAGATGGCCAGTTGGTTTTTGTGGACTCTTCACTTCCCAATCCCAATGGAGTGGAGTTTGACAATCTTTACTTGGACATGAATGGTATAATTCATCCATGTACCCATCCTGAAGACAAGCCTCCACCTAAAGATGAGGATGAGATGATGGTGGCTATTTTCGAGTGTATTGACAGATTGTTCCGTATTGTTCGCCCAAGGAAACTGCTATACATGGCAATTGATGGAGTTGTAAGTAATTTTAAACTATAAAAACACTTAAATAGATAATTCTTAATATCCTTTAAACTATGTTACGTACATATTGCATGTATTTGTCATTGTTTAAAACATAAAAATGGGGTAAATCTTATTTCACCTTGTTGAATATTGTAAAGATTTTACCAATGATATATATAAAATATGAAATAATGAACATTGTTAAAGTATTTCTAATAATATATAATATTCATAAATTTAAATGACTTTTCTTACCCAAATTGTGAAATACCTTCAGGCACCCAGGGCCAAAATGAATCAGCAACGGTCTCGCCGTTTCCGAGCCTCGAAAGAAACGCAGGAGAAAATTGACGAGGTTGCCCGCATCAGATCAGAATTGCAAGCTAAGGGAGCATACTTGCCCCCTGAAAGGCCGAAAGAAGCTCACTTTGATTCTAATTGTATTACACCAGGGACACCCTTTATGGATAGGCTGAGCAAATGCTTGCATTATTACATTCATGATAGGTAGGTTTTTTATTACAAAATAATTGAATTGTAGGGTTACATAGCTTTTTAGGCTAAAATCAACTATTAAAGATAGTAGTGGCAATGGTTGGTGGGACGGTTCTGTCTTTCACACAAATTCTATTTGTTGACATACATAATACTTTTTACCATATATATCTTATACTTTATACAGGCTTAACAATGACCCTGGATGGAAGGGAATCAAGGTAATTTTGTCTGATGCTAATGTACCTGGTGAAGGAGAACACAAGATTATGGATTACATACGTAGACAAAGAGGTAATTTATAATACCTTGGAGTACTTTCATGCCATTAGTTCAAAAAGAAGTCACATACAAAAGGTCTAAATTAAAATCTTATAATTGTGTAGCACCATCATGTTCAATAATAGTGTTGGTTTTTTAAAGCAAACAGAGTAAAACTAACAGAATAAATATTTATCCCAAATAATAGCGTATATTGTACCTGCCAAAATCATATCTCCTGAATGTTTTTCAAAGTGCAAAACTGCAGTGAAGGATTATTTATTTTCTATTCTATCTAATATAATTTACTTTATAGCTCAACCAGATCATGATCCCAACACCCAGCATGTTCTTTGCGGAGCCGATGCTGATCTTATTATGTTGGGTTTGGCAACACATGAACCAAATTTCACCATCATCAGAGAGGAATTCAAACCAAACAAACCAAGACCATGTGATGTCTGTGGACAACTTGGTAAGAATAACCTAATAAATATATTCATTTGTTAGTAAACAATAAAAATCTATATTTAACTGGTAGCTCAGTGTGTCGCTTTAGCTGCATTCAAGTAAAATAAATTTAACATAACATAAAAGCCAATCCAAAATATTGTTTTATATTATTGAAATTAATATAACTACAATAAAATTCTTTTTACAATTTCTTCCAACAATGCTTTACGTTAATGTTGTTTTTATTCTCAATTTAAGGCCATGAAATGAAGGAATGTACTGGAAGCAGCCCTGAAGCAGCATTAGTCAGGTCTGACCCTGCATTTGGTAACCAAGACAGCTTCATATTTGTGAGACTCAGTGTCCTTCGAGAATATTTGGAAAAGGTATTTCATTTATATTAAGTTCTTCTAGCCTATTGGATTAATTTTGCCTATGTTATTGACTTTGTCGCGCTATTGACACGTGGTTTATTAAAATCGGTTTACCATTTTTGGTCTTAGAGCACGGTAAAACAAATGACTGACAAAGTCATTACTAATTTGATTGGCCTCGACAATTGGGTACATACATGTTACAGATTCGATTTTACGGATTCTGTGGTGTATCACTATGACATAATTTTTTTTTTTAAATCTAATCATTACTTTACAGGAGTTACAAATGCCCGGACTCCCGTTTCCCTATGACTTCGAAAGAGCCCTAGACGATTGGGTTTTCATGTGCTTCTTCGTTGGCAATGACTTTTTACCTCATCTTCCCAGTTTAGAGATAAGGGAGGGGGCAGTTGATCGACTCGTCAATTTGTATAAAAAGTGTGTTTATAAGACTAAGGTGAGAAGATGACTATTATTAGTAATACTTACTTAATTTACTATTTATTGTGACAAAAAAGATGTTGTATGTAATGATGTATGTTAAATTTGTAAAGTTATATGGCAGAAATAATAATAGAATAATAATTGTGTTTTTTGTAGTTTCTAATCTGTGATTACAAATACTTATAAAGCAATCAGTAGTTTGTTTTGTATGACTAGATGTATGAAGATGCATTATTTTGAAATGTTGTTTAAATATTTAATGTTTTTTTGTAGGGCTGGATAACAGATTCCGGTGATGTAAATCTGGACCGAGTTCAAGTTATCATGGATGAGTTGGGACGTGTAGAAGACGAAATCTTTAGACGGAGACATCAGAACGAAGTCAGCTTCAAAGCAAGAGAGAAGGCTAAGAAGCAGCAGAAAATCAACTTTCAATTGCTAGAAAATACACAGTTTGCACCTACAGTAAGAGTTGTTATTTTGCATTGTTTCCGATTGTTTTTCCTTATATAATCATCAAATATAGACTCGTGTCTGAGGCATAGGTGGGAGTTGAACTCGCGGATCCTGTTGCTGATGTGACGAATGCCCTGAGATTGAGCTAAAAACAGGTTATTTGTAGAAGAAAGAAGAGTAAAAATAATTAAAATTATATGTATTGCATATATTTTTGATGTTCTCTTAATATATTGTGAAATGCTTTAAGATAGTCAATAAATGCTTACAGGCTTTAGGAGGGGGCGCAAAGACGGTGCAGAACGCGCGACAGGAAGCCGCTGAAATACGCCGTGCGGGGATGCAGGCTGCTGTAAGTTTCATTTTATTAAATTATTTAATGTTCCACGTGCTTGTAGTACTCCCTTGCACGATGGAATCCATGGCATTATCAATGCTGTAAGATGGACTTCACCTTTCATTAAGAGGCCAAGCATGGGGATGCTTATCCTATCATCTATCGTATCTATCCTTCACTATCAAAACAAAATACCTCACATATAAATTACTTTTATTGAAAAATAACGAAAGTCAAATTTCCGAAATTTTCCCTTAGAGAGAGGAAGAGACGAATCGATCACGGAAACGTAGCGCCGCCCAGGCTGGTCTAGATGATGATGATGATGACAAACATGATGAGGTGCGTCTCTGGGAGGAAGGATTCAAGGAAAGGTACTACGAGAGCAAGTTTGAAGTGGACAGGAGTAATATGGAATTTAGGTGAGTTGTACAAGTTTGAATTAATAAATCTATATGTTCTTAAGTAAGGCAACACTTTTCAGAGGTAGGATTAGTTATTTGTGAGATGAAACTGTCTAAAATTCATTAGAATTTGTTAGTGGTTTTCTGTTGTTTTAAGAATTCTACAAACAAATGATAATTGAAGTTTTTCAAATTACTACTTCTATTAAACCACTTGATTACATATTACAAGTAACCGTGTAGTTAACACATTCCCACGACGTCGTCCGCGTCCCGTCGTTCCTGAAAGCTACTCTTTAAAGAAATACCGTCCCGGACATTTTTTTATATCATTTTAAGAATCATTCTTACATTCATATTTTTTGCTTTCTTGAAACGATTTCGCAGCGCACGCAACAGATTCCCTCAACGATTAATAATTTTTCCCGTTTTTACACATTTCCATCCGTTCCTCCGACCCTATTTGTCATAGCGTGATGTTTAACAACCTAAAGCCTCTTTGGTCAATGAAATAGATTGTCCTCTATATTACAGATATCGCGTAGCCCTACAGTACGTCCGTGGTCTCTGCTGGGTTCTTCGGTACTACTATCAAGGATGCGCTTCGTGGAAATGGTACTTCCCCTACCACTACGCGCCATTTGCGTCAGACTTCGTCAACATTTGTGGCCTGAGCACTAAGTTTGAGAAGGGAACTAAACCGGTGAGATATTTTTTCGGGATATTAAATGGGTGGTAGGATTATGAATTTCCATCCGGGTCTGATCCGTCCTACTCTATTATTAATATATAAAATAATAATTACGATCTTAATATAAATCTTTTACTTCATATGAGGGTAGATCTTCGTAAGTCTGATGTTTGACAAATGTCAAAATGTTTGATAGCCTATTATATCTTTGGAGGCATTTGAATGACGTACACATGGATGTCAAAAGATAATATTAAATTATTGCTCTATTTGTTACAGTTCAGACCTTTAGAGCAGCTCATGGGCGTGTTTCCAGCAGCGAGTTCACAGCATGTGCCACAACCATGGGCCAAGCTCATGAGCGATCCGGTATGAATTAGCTTGTCTTGTAAAACGTCATTCTATAATTTAATGTATTCTTTTACGCTATTTAGGCTCTTTTCTTTTTCAGAACTCATCCATTATAGATTTCTACCCGATAGACTTCAAGATAGATCTCAATGGAAAAAAATTCGCGTGGCAAGGTGTTGCTTTGCTGCCTTTTGTAGACGAAACGAGGCTCTTTAAAGCGCTGGAACCCTATTACAAAGATTTGACGCAAGCTGAGAGTAAGTTCTATTAGTCTTTTAAATAAAATACTTTTAACGGTTTAAAACGTGAAATGTCTAATACATTACTTTTTTTTTACTAAATACTGTCTGGAGTAAATAATTAGTAGAGGAATGTCAGAAAATTTAAACACTAAATAAACAAAATTCTAAAATATACCTTCTGGCCTTGTAATAAGAGTGTCTTTTCTTCAGTACAACGCAACATTCGTGGTCACGATCGTCTATATGTGTCGACCGGTAACAAGAGCTACGAGTTTCTCCTGGGATTGTACCAGGGTGCTGGTGTGGAATTGAAGAAGCTGATAACATCTGATCAGCGATACCCTTACCGCAGTGAGGGAGTAAGAGGGGATGTGCTGCTTAGTGCTGATAATGTTATAATAGGGGGGTGAGTTGATTAGTTACTTATTTGGGACATGAGACGTTACAAAGACGTCATTGATTTAACAGCAAGTGACTAATAAGCTTATGGTTTGCTAACTGATTGAAATATATTTTCTTTGTGTCCCCGGGACTCGAACTTACTGTCTTTATGCTAACCTACGCTATGCGTTCTTTAATTGAACCACGTAAAGCTACCCTTAAAAAATTTATTGCTTTTTTATGATAGAGTGAAATACCCTAGCCATATTACTTTCAAAAATATGCGTGGTCGACCTATGTTAGCTTTGGATATTCGGGAATCTACAGACTAAAATCGAGGCGCGATTAAATATCATGACTTTTTAATCTGTGGACTGTGGTTCGCGATCCGGATACCACCCCTTAATTATCTAAACTTCACGTCGAAGTCCAACTTGTTTTAGAAAAAAATCAAAAACATATTGAAAATATCTAAACCACGACCTGTTTATAATTAGCTACACATACCTTTGCACTGACGATCCCGCCAAACATAATGATAATTTACATTAAATTATACTAATTACTGATGTTTTTCAGGCAACTTCCCTCTCCTGTTGTTGGCCTTGCCCCAGTATTAGATAACAGAGCGGTGTGCGTCCGCTACCAAGACCCCGACTTTCCGGAAGACTTTATATTCCCCGCGAGGAGACTTCGCGGTGCGACGGAACCTCCGAGGGTCTTGAAGCCAGGAGATCTTTCACAACAGGAGAACAGGAATTGGAGACCACAAATCGGTAAGATGCGTCACCAAAAAGAACATAGATGCATATTTGCTGTTGGTAAAAATTTATGCAATGTATTTTAATAAAATTCTATAAATTGATGTTATTTAAAAGGACCTTATTTTAAGTTTGTTATATTAAGTAAAATAGAATTAAATACTGTCTATAGTTTACGCGAGTAGTGCACATTTAATAAAACACTTTAACGGTTTAAAACCTTGCCACGTTGGCGAAGCAGCATCCGAAACGTCGGGCCGAAGTTAAAAATCAATTTCAAATAAGTTTAACTAATATATCGCGTTTTAAACCGTTAAAGTGTTTTATTTAAAATAGAACTATTTTTAAATAAATAGCATTAGTTGTATTATTCTATAGCCATATTAAGAATATATTTCTCGTCAGGAATGGTCAGATCGCACACTGTGGGTAGTTTAGAACGGGCTGGTCACCGAATGTTGGGTCACCATCTGCCAAGAGATAATTCGTACTCTTCAGTGCCACCTCCTCAACAGCACAGTAAGTTTTCTATTTATAAAATATAACTAATAATAGTTTATTTATGTAATTCATTTCTATATGACATGTATGTACACAAAGTCTTTTGATTAATACGCTATTTGACTCGCGTCTGTATAATTTTTATTAATCATGAATATGTGCATTTAAGCAAGAATTGTTTTAATGGTGTGGTAAAAACAGTGGTGTGGCTATAGTAGGATCAAGTGGTGCAATCCAACAGGGCTCCAAAATTTAGGGGGCCCTCTATCCTTCTCTTTGTAAAGCGTAAAAGGAGAAAAAAAACAACATAACGTTTCATTTTGTTTTTGCAAAAAAAATGTAATATTATATTTTGGAGGTTTATAATAGTTCAAGCTACGCTTACCGGTACCTTTGTTCATCCACCCGATTAAACTATAGGTTTCCAATATTTTTCATTACAAAATATACCAAAAATACCTTCAAAATTTTAAACGTGTCTCTAGTGAGACCAATGTTTAACAAATAAAAATGTAAAAAATCGGGTGCATATTAAAAATGCATTAATCGCAAATTTATTTGAGCGGAGGGCGGGTCGCGTGGCCCAATTATTATGCGTCCCTCGCCGGCCGTGTGCGTGTGATTGCTTCCTCATAAACAGAACAATATTATTGGAAAATGTCGTTAGGGATGTGGGGAAAATGCCGTTTCGTGTATGCACAATTTTCTCATTCAATTGCAGCTCGATATGCGAATATCAAATTAACAGGACAAAAGGCTTATGTTAATGATGATTCATTATAAAGACATAAGCTTATATTTTACCCCAATAAAGTAGCATACTGTCAGCAGTTTACGCAATTAGTACACATTTAAATAATACACTTTAACGGTTTAAAACGCAATATTCATTGGAAAATTACATGGTGACCACGGCTCCTGCAAAGCATCCGGAACATCGGGTCGTAGTTAAAATAATGTTCAAATAAGTTTAATATATAGTTTTAAACAGTTAAAGTATTTTATAAAAAAAAATAAGCAGCTTATTATTTTAAATACTTTTAAACGATAAAACGATGCTCTATCACGTTCCAAAGTTTTGGTTTAATTTCCCGATGAACTGTGAAAAAGTAAACTATAATATATGTAAAGAGATATGTTATTTACATTAGTTCAATTATAGTACCTAATCCAGGATCCTCTCGAGTTTCACACAATGCTGTTTATCCATTAAGCCATAGTTAAAATATGTGAATTAATTAAAACTATGCATGATATATTATTTTAACAGGTCTGTTCCACACAAACATTAGTCTAACGAAAGCTACATCAGAATCCAAAGACAAAGAGTTCGCGTCTATGGCGAATAAGCGTTTAAAACAATGGCGACTAATTAAAAAGGCAGCCTGTTTCGAGTGGCACGAACAAAGATCCGATCAGAGACAATGCTTCGGCTCTAATTGGCGTACTCTATTGTTGAATTGAGTTGTATAACAGTTAGACTTAGGATAACAAAAGAAGACTTAGGCACCGGACTAAGAGAAGATGTTTTGAGAGGCGCTGATAGCGAGTGTTCATGGCCGTAGCGTAGAATAGAAAGAATTTCTAATGTATTTAAGAATAATAGAGAAAAAATTTGTGGCTTTTGGTGTAGAATGAGACTTTCTTTTGGCCGAGTCTCTGGTTAAGATAAACAAGATGGCTACCGTGTAGGTGATCTTTGTGAGTAAACATGATCAATGGAACACATATAGAGATCTATTTGCACTATGCTCTAAGCGGGGTTATGGGATTAGTAACCTTTTATTACTCATATATTTTTTTTATTATCGAGGACAGTCAAGCAGAAAGTACAATTGATGGTGGGTAAAATACCTCAGTCATGTAACATCTAATGAAATAGCGCTGTCGATCTATTATGGCTTTGGATATCGGACATCCACAGACTACAACCGAAACGATTGCAGTCTGTGGAACTTGACAGCTTTTTCACATGTGGACGGCGCTTCGTGACCCGGACTGAATTCCTATATTTCTTCCATTTAATATGCAGACTTCCAGAATAAATCTAACATCAAAAAAAAACCCGTCGATATTTGACAAAACTTTGAAAAAGAGTAAGTACATATATTATATACATTATCAATCAATTGTGTAAGCTGAAAGGTTCGTGTTAAATCACGGCTTGTTAAGCATGTAACATGAATTTGCAATGCTCTTCCTTCTTTTTCTTTAAAAGGATTACATTAGACCCTGGCGAGTGTACTTCTATAAAATCGCCCTGAAGCAGGCCTGAAAAATGCGCACATCTTCCGTATTAAAAAAATGTAAGAAACAAAGAGTCTTTGTATACGCTAACATCAAAGAGAAACAGATAATAGCGGCACTTTACAAATGAAGTCTTAACAAAATCTTTGCACAACTCGCCCGATCAATGACGAACGAAGCCATTATAAGACCAAATGACATCTAATGAAAGGCTGCAAAATAATTTCAAATTGGCCCGTCATTCACGTCAAATAGCGCGCGAAGGTAAACAGGAAGCGCGACGGGCTCCATTGTCGGACGGCCAGTGTCGCCAACTACGAAAATAATAATTATCGAGGGTTGCCAGCACAATGGGACTTTTTAAATAACGGGTCGATCGGCTCAAGTGCTTCCTATTATCCGTTTGAAGGGGATTACGCTACAGTGTCGAGGTTTTTTATTGATTTTTTTTTCACCCTTTATCCAGGTGGCTTCGCGAGGTGTGCTAATGCGTACTTTTTTTTAATCGGATCAAAGTAGGTTGTATTTTTTGGCAGCCGGAAGTTGATTTTTTTCTTAAGCTAATCGGAAATGTATAATGAAAACAGTCATGCACGCTAAAATACTGAAAATTTTGATCAACATTATTTAAGTCTCTTTTTTTATATAATACACATTAATATATGAAACACTAAAAACAGGAAAATAACGTAATTTAGCAAATTAAGTGAAACAAAGGCTAAGGAGTGATTATTTTAAAAGCTGTAAAGTACGGAAGGAAAACAGGAATCAACAATTATTACCTCACAATGCAATATAGTAAAACAGAGTTACTAAGCACATAAGTCCTATCAGACGTATAGATATTAATAAATGTACCAGCATGTATAAAGCTTCCAATTAATCTCCGTTTAACCGATTCAAACCGGGCTTCTTATGTCCTAACAGTTAGAGTCGAAAGTCGACGCAACTCGGTGGTCGTGGGGGCGGCACGTGCCCTAATTAATACCCCAAACTACGGGGTCTTAATTGAATACGCTTATTTGATTTGGAGTTTGACATATCTAAAGTCGGAAGTCACCCGGGTTACGCGGAATCGCGATAAAAAAAATTAACTTTACATCATACGCTACTTCAAATTTACACGTGTAAGTAAAATATTTAATAGTATTTACTCACGAGCGTATTCTCTGCAGTTTATTTGAGTGGCGTTAAATAAAACACTTATAACTGTTTAAAACTGCGAATATGTTATTAGTTTATTTGGTTTTAATTATCGGCGTTTTGTATGCGCACAGATGCGAAGATCGCGTTTGATTTTAGTCAAAAATAAGTTGACTTATTTATTACGCGTTTTAAATCGATAATCTTGATTACTGTCTTTTTGTGTAGAAGAAATCGATCGAATGACCTGTCTCCGAGGGCTACACCATCGTATTGCGGAGTTATAGTTTCCCTTCTGTTATCTAGATTAATTTCCAATCAAATGTCAACCGTTAGGGTAACCTCAAGTCATATATTGTAACAAGACATACCCCGTCTAAACGGGCACATCCCGCAGGTTCTCGCCGTAGTCACGGCTCGGCCCTTAAGCACGCGCCTCTCTCTAATTATAGCCGCTCCCCCTCCCTCGCTCCCAAAACCCCCCCTCCTCCCTTCCAGCTCACCTCTACTCGAGTGGAGCCGTGTCTCGTTTAAGCCTCCTTTTTATTTTCCCGCCAAGAAATCCGCTGAGGGCCTGGTGACGTGAGGGTCGGCCGAATCTCGGCTTGATAGGCACTGTTTGAATCCTTGACAAGTGACGATTGTGTTTGCTTTTTTCATTCAGCGTACAATTTTATTTTTCATATTTTTCCTTTGCGTTGGTTTTTTACTTTGGAAAATGTCTTTGTTCCTTATTATTAGGATCTATTGGCACAATGGTGTCTATAGTTTGTGGTGTACCAAAATGTAGCCTTCGGAACCTACAATTTTAGCACGAATAATGAACAAGGCTTTTCCAAACCTTTAATTAATAACCCTGTATTTTTTTGATTTCGTGACACTTTTATTTGTTAGTTTTTGTATGCAGCGCTTAGCGAAGCTTAAATTAGAGACGCAAACGCCTTGCTTCTTCATACATTTGAAGTAGGTACAAAAACCACGTACAAAAGGGAACTGCCTAAAAACTTAATATTTCGCGTCGTAAAGTGCAAATTTTGGAGCCATTTTCTCTCCTACCTATCCGGAATAGTAAAAAAAAATGTCTGCATTCATAATAGCTGGCTAATGGAGGCCGGCGCGACACATTCACGGTATGAAAGCGTCGCAAATAAGAGCAATGCGTTCGTGCCAAAATTATACGACCTCTAGCGTGGAGTGGGGGTTGACGGCATAGTAAAAATCAATGTGTAACTTAATGATACTTGCCGACCACCTTGGAACAGAACTCTTTTAAACTTAAAAAAAATATGTACCTGCGCAAGAATAATAAAATGTTGGTTTTTAGTTTTCAATACTTATTTACGATACAAGAAACAATTTAATTTAATTCACGTAACTTATGATAAATGTATAATTTCAAAATACACAGTCGCACCTTTTGTAACAACGTTACTTAATTAATCATTAGCTATGCAATATATTTTTTTATTGTTATAAAATAACAAACCAATTGATTTTGAATTTCAATTGTGTCATACGAACTGTAAATATAATTAGTAACAGTTATGAGCTGTAGGTTTAAAGATTAAATAATTCATTTTCACGAAGAATATACATATTCACTTAGTGCGAAAAAACAATAATACTTATAATACTTACTTAAGGTTAAGGTTACATACGACCCAATTAAAAAGGTATAAAAAATACAATTTTACAATTTTTTAAATCGTTACTATTAAAACGTGTACGAAATTTATTATAAAACTGAGCTACTCTTCCTATTTCCGCTATGGGCGCTGGTAGGCACCTACCGTTTGCAAAATGCTTTTTTTGGTAGTTAGATGATTTCGGGACTGAGTAATTAAGGGTCCATGGTCATTAGAGCGCGAAGTTTCCGAGTTCAAATCGCATTTGATTTGGGATGTTTTTTGTGTGTAGTTTTCATTAAATTACAAATATTATAAAGAGCTTTTCTTTCGACTTGAATAAATTCTCGTAATTGTAAATGTCAAATATTGTAACTTGTAGTCTGTATCTTCATCATCATGATTCCACTGCTGAAATTCAGGCCCCATGAGGAGATAAGCCTTAATTTATAGCGTGTAGTCGCAATACGTGTCATAACCATCTTGCCTTGTACGACAATTGTTTCCAAAAGTATAAAAAATAATCATTGTTTGATATCGACCCTCGATTTGTACGATAGTACATTCGTATAAAAATCAGAGGTGTCAAAGTAGGGGTTGATCCGAATATTGGCCGGGGGGGGGGCAACTTTTATTGATAATATTTCGACATATTATGTAGGTCGCAAATTCCATTAGTCTTGTTGTATGTACTAAGATTAGTACCTTAAAATTAGACTGCTCTGTAACACAGACTTTTTTTCAGTTTGCAAAAGCATAGTTTCGTCTATTTTTTTCTAATTAATATTTGTATGCAAGCTTTGGTAAGTTTTGGTTGGAGTTATTTTGTTAGGTATATTGTTATTCTATTATTTTGTAATTTCGTTTTTGAAGCTATTGTATTCATTTAGCATTTCTATGATTAGGATTGAAGAAATTGTCGAATAGGCTGTAATAAATAAATGAAATCTATTACCAAATCTATAAAACTGGTGACATCAGTCGCGGTGAAACTATCACCGTATCCCGGATTGCCTCCCCCGGGTGACGCCAACAATGACAGCTAATGGCGTCAGCTCGTTACGCACTCGCTGCGTGATTATCTGGCTAGAAGCACTCTGGGATTCACTAGGAGAAACCGCAGCTTCTGTTCGTGTATAATTGAGATTATAATTGTAGTGCGCTGGGATCTATTGTTGCAAGTTGGTAAAGGTTTGGAGGCGCGTACGGTTATTAACGACTCGTAGAAGTAAAAATAGTAATAAATATATCAAAGCCCCTGCCGGTAGCTAATGACTCAACTGTTAATATATATGATAAGGCCGCCCGTTACACTCCATAATTTATAGATTAATGTATAGTGTAGTGCAATAAAGAATAAATAAAATAATTAAAAATTTTCACGAATCCCTTCGTTAAGCTCGAGAGGAAGAGATCCTCGAAAAAAATATAATAGAATAAATAATAGTGTATTGTTTCGGTCGGGGAGGGCACAAAAGTCTGATCAACTACCTCACTGTAAATAAAACCGACCACTTAAACGGACACAGAAGTGTGCTTGCCCCATGACCCACGAGAAGACACGGGTCTTCACACTTATACAATGCTAACAAATACCTATAGGTATACAAGATACCGTATATAAACTTAAAACCTATTTACTAGAATTTGTCGAAATTTGATTGATGTTGTTGAAAATTTTAATAGAGTAACGCGGCACGTCGTATGATATTTTAATTAATTATAGACGGTATTATAACTTTAATGACATAAATACTTATCAGCCCCACGCGCACTGGGGTTCGGTAAGTACAGTTTAAATTTTAATGACGATTAAGTTGACGCATTGTTTGTTGCGGGACTAATCGCACCACATTGCGTATCGATGGCGATTGTTCGAATCCTTTTAGGTCTTACGGGCTTTTGTGAATCGTTACTCAGACGTATAGCTACTAGATGTGTTTGAACACTATTTCTGAAAAATATAACCGAATTTAAATAAAACCACGTGACCACGGCTAAGTTTAACTAATATATCGCGTTTTAAACAGTTAAAGTGTTTTATTTAAATGTCTACTACTCGCGTAAACTATAGACAGTATTTAAATATAACCGCTTCCGTAGGTTTTTAAAGCCTTAACACATGCCTAAGTGCGAACTGAAAGCTCTTTTGTGCTTTTAAGTTTCTTCTATAAGTATACGAATGTTTAAAAAATATTAATTTATCTATTTCTTTTGTATTATAAACGACGAGCCCACCAACCGTATTACTAATGTAATGGGCTTTTTGGTGTAATGGTAGCAATGTACGTCAAATTAACAACGGGTTCGATGCCCACCGGATCCCACATGTTTCCAATAAATTTATAATTTGTCTGAGTCATGGTGGAATTCGTCTTGAAATCTGGACATTTAATGGGTGTAGGAATAACGAAATCATCCAGTCGCGAACCAGTATCCACAGATGAAAAAACAGTTTAAGTTAACCGCGTTTCAGTCTTTGGGTATCGAATATTAAAGCCAAACAGCCCATCTTGTTCAGATATTAAAGGTGAAATATCTTCCATTAAATGAACCACATGCTTGCTTGTCTTTTACATTAAATAAAGCATTATTATTAACGCGTTGGATGCACTATTACTGTGTCCTATTTGATTTTTGTCTTTTGAAAACTCCTACAAAACATTAAAACAATCATACATACACAATAATAGTTAAACACTGTTCAGAAGTAAATTCTTTCTATATCGCAGCCAATTCCTACACGAAGAGATCATATTCAGATCTCAACTTTAAGAGTGTTAAGGGCGGTGAAAGTTCGCATTGGTGGAAACTTGTCATATGACTTTTATGTGCAACTAATTTCATTACTATCATTGCCTTACTTATTAAGAAGATACATCGCGTGTCTCATGACAACTGATTACTCACGGATTGTTTATATATGTACATACATACATACTTTTAAATTGAATTTTAATTTTGACAACTAAATAAGTACGAAATCAATTGTAGCTAATATCTACACTAATATATAAAGCTGAAGAGTTTGTTTGTATGTTTAAACGAATGGTTCTAATTCAAAAAATATTTTGTGTTGGTTAGAGCATTTATTGAGGAAGGCTATAGGCTATAAAAAATATACCGTTGTGACTGATAGGAGCGAAAAAAATCATCTCCTTTAAATAACCTAAAAAAATGTTCCCGACAGTATATTTCTGTCTTTCAATATTAACTAATGCAAAAACTGTTTTCATGAGAATCCACTTTTGTCGAAACACTTCATTAAGCAATAAAACGTTTGCTAGGTTAGCTAGTCTACCATAAAACATGATTATATGAAATCTAGATCTATCCAGGTGTTAACAGACGTCGAACCTGTCGCCCTTAACCATTTTCATGTTTCCATTTAAAAAATTTCAATGAAACCAATCGCAAACCGCGTATTTCCAGCGACGTATCCTACATCTGTGTCGACATTAGAGCGAACACAAAGCGAACGATTAAACACTCTGGGCGCGGCTTTCACACCGGCAGACGCTCGCTCGCGATTTGCAAGCGGTTTTAAGCCGTCGAGTATTCGGTTTTGTGCGACGACGGAGCTGCCTCGGCTCAACGAGAAATCTTTTGGCTAAATAGAACGAATCGGCTTTATATTCCTGTGAAGTAAACACTCGCTTGTGTCGCATAGTTTTTGAAGGATTCTAGATTTCTTTTCGCTTGACGATATAGGGCTGTGTGGTGTTCTGTAAAACTCGGGTTCAGCGTATCGGGTTTATGTAATACATAGTCTTTAAGGCTAAACCTATTTTCTCAAAAATATCTTAGCACCCTTAGCAGGATACTAACAAAAATCTCGTCTTCGCAATATCGGTATGGTCATACCTAATGTCTCGAATTGAGGATCATACTTACGATACTTCTTTAAGTGAAGAATATTTAACGAATGACTTAGATAAAAATCCGTAAATAATCTTAATGAAAAATTATGAGAGCTATACAAGTAAAAAAACTTTTTGTTGCAGATCGCTCCCAATCGTACGGACCGAGACGTGGTGGTTACGTTCCACACCAGGACCAAGATCAGGGATACAATCGCCAAAATTACCAAGGAAACCAAGACAGACCCAGCCATCAAAGATACGAGAACAGCGGTAACCGGAACTGGTCGCAGAACCAAGATAGATTCGGTAACCAAAATCGCAACAATCAGGGCTATTCGAGTCACAACCAAAATCAGAGGTACTCAAATAACCAAGGGTATAGGAACCAGAACCAACGTGGTGGCCAAAACCAGGGCGGATGGCGACCCCAAGGCCCTAATAGGCATCAGGGCAATTCGAGTTGGCGCTAAAGAAAAATTAGTGTAGATCTAAGGATGACGAAATCGGACACAAATCTACAACATGTAGTTACAACAATGACATGTAAAATAGTATGTAACTGTGTAGTTAATACTAAATAATAGTATCTTATTTGTTAATTACATATATGTAAAGAAAAACGAGTTTTTAAAAGTTGCAACATATATTTTGAAATATACCTAATCAAAGAAAATTTAGACTTTAAATTTATGTTTCATATGAAATTTATAAATGTCTGAAACGTCGACAGTTTTTTTTAACTCTAATAGGTATACAAAAAAAATATTAATTAAAAAAGTTAAGAGATCTAACTATAGAGTTGTTTAATTTCGATCTTTTTTCATAATTACACGCAACACTCGACTACAGAATGTATTATAATTTCTATAAGTAGTCAAATGTTATTTTCATTTGATTTGAATGTTATTTAGAATTTTAATTGCTAAAAATGTTTCGCCTCAGATTAACTTAGAGACAAACAAGTTCTTCTAATGTTTTAAATTGAATTTCAGTTCGCACCTTACTTATAAAACAACACATAGGTGACTTCATATACTAAATACTATGATGTATTGGTCAAGTGCCTATAGTTTTGAGTACCAAGAAATCTTATTGATTTACACAGATATTTAATTAAATAAACTGGTATAAATCACACAAGAATTGATTGGTTAAGGTAACTGTAAGCAAAATAAATGATTTCGAAATAAAACTGTTTTTCTTATCTCTCTATCTACATATTATATCCATAGATATTTTTATAAAATAGTATGTAACCAGGCATTTTAACATATTTTTAAATCAGTAGCAATGATCGTTAATATTATTAACGGACCATTAAATTATACCTGGACAAAAACTAGTCGCCGTTAAGTTCGCATTCAGATCTCAAGTGGCATCCAGCCAGGGCCCCTAATTTCCTTTCATCTGCACAATTTCGAGCCTTCGATTGTGGTAAAAAAAAAGAAATTAAAAAACTATTGATCGAGAACAAACACCACTTGAGACGCGCTTTGTACGCCATATTGGAAATTATTTGACGGCAACATGTTCATAAATGTGAATTAAAACTTTCAAAGTTTTTAAAATTCTGGATACAAACAAGCGAGTCAAATTGTTTTGTCAAATTATACGGATTTAGTAAAAGGGTGTTTTATTAACTAATATAACGCATTTCTGTAACTGTTTTATACACGTCATGTAGGCACCTAATCTATAGATAGACTAAAGTCTATGTACCTACACACCTAGAGGTAGGTATTTACAGGCTTTAAAGGTTGGAAGACCTAATAACGAAGGAGATATTTGATTTGTTTTTAAATAGAAGAGATCGAAGGAGAAACTCGTGATGGGCTTTCGACCTGATTTGGCTTGGACATATAATAAATGATGTAAATACTATTTTGTGTGAGTTATCAGCGCTAATAGCAATAAGGAAACAAGACTTCTCTAAACTTCCTAAATCCTAGTAAATGTAGGCTTTTTAATAAAACTTAGTTAATGATAGGAATTCGGTATCTCAGTGTAGTATTAGCATAACCAAAGTTTATCTCTGTATAGTGCATCCCATATTTGGGCGAAATAAAACACTTCACGTAACTTATCGCATTCTCACGTTTGTAACGCTACAATGGCACCTGAATCGCGCGCCTCGCGAATTCCCATCAAGTACGCATCGATAGTCACTCTGCTCACTTCCCATAAATCTAGAGTGATCATTTCTCCGTGTAATGTCAAAGTCTTTACTTGTAATGAGCACGTAAGGGCGGGACAGTCAGCGTGGCGCCAAAGTTCACGCTGCGTTCGCGTGGTCTCGAATGACGTCACACAGCGGGCTCTCAGCATGCTTTTCTACGACCATAGTGTAGACTGAGGCGTTCGAATTTAAATTCCGTTTGACAGATGACTTTTTCTTGGGGGAATTGTGATTTCTTTGCAATGGAACGTCCAAGTGGCGCTGACTGGACGCCGTCGAGTGTGAATGAGCAATTTGATGAGAAAGTGCTTGAGTTGTGGGAAAGGGGACTTATTTGTGGCTTATATCATTCTTAATTATTATTTATTGACTAGCTGAGTTCGCGACTTTGCGTGGAAAAGAGAGTGAATGACGAAATGTTAATTTTTAAGATAAATATATTATATTCACTTCAAGTGTTTGTCCTTTTTTACTCGCCACGAATACTCAAAGCATTTTGTTAAACAGACAAATAACCGTAAAATTTTCACTGGCATCCTATGTCCACATAACGAAATCTAGATAGGTGGGTAGTGGTTACCTATCTACCTATTTACATACAGACAGATGAGAATACTATTAAATATTTTATTTTGTCGCTCGTTGTAACTATCTATATTACATATAAATATATATGTAATAAGTTACAAAAAAAATTAGACAGACTAAAAACCTATTTAAAGATTTATCTTCTATCAGCTAACGGTGCATATTAAAAGAGCTCAACTCCACAACCGGATTTATTGCCTCCCAACTGACCATCCAAACAATCGTGAAACTCGTAAATCAACAACAAACTTACTTTCACAGATAGCCGAATTAGCGCGTAAAAAACTAAATTGTTCTACATCCCGCCCAAATTTGGCATTCACATCGTGAACGAGACGCGTCCCTGCCATTGGTAGCCATTGCTTCACTCTGATTGGCCCTCAGTTTGACAGTAATGGCGTTAACACGATACTTTACGATGTGATAAATGTACTAAATATCAAATTAAGCCAACTGATTTTCAACTTTATCGTCTTACAATTAAAATGCAATTTATCATTAATAAAGGTGAATAATACGTTATTTCACTTACGACTTCCTCCCCTCTGGCCAGATGTTGCCACACTTAGTAACAATTTCACCCACGGCGTTTCGGAACCTATTGTGCAACTTTAGTTTTTTGTATTATTTTGACTAATTCTTTTGTCGTGCGGTTGGTTAGATTTTATCGGCGAGGGTGAGTCGATTCATTGATGCGGATGCTACTCCGCTACCAGTTTTATAAATGCTTTTTGTGAGATGTTGTTTTATCGTTGTATTGTGATTAAAAGCTTTTAGAATTGTGGATAGCTATCAGAGTTAATGATAATTTGAATTTAAAGTCCGCCATTTTAATCGGCCCACTTACTTATTTTTAGTTAATGATACGGTTAACTCAGACAGCATTAACTTTTTCTTTAGTCTTCATAATTACTACATATTTTCACAAGAAGTAAACAGATTTTTTTAGTTATTAGGTGGATACGTAGTTTCGCGAGAATCGAACCGGGGGTTTCGTTATCGACGTTTCCTGCACTACATCGTTAAACACTATCTTACTACATAAGTACTTAATACAATTTCCATATTCTTCATTATACGAAAATAGTTCTGTTAGTTGTAATAGTAAAGAGGGTTGATTTATTAAAAGGCAGATCAAATTTAATTTATCGCGTGAAACTAGCCGTGACTAAGCCATGTAATATTCACGCTAGGCCGCCTCGTCGAGTATAATATTTTATTTTATTTTTTACTCTTAATTCGCGCGGCCGTTTCGAGCACTCAAGCGGACCCAAAAATCTCGAAAATTCACCCGTGTGTCGCAATTACAGACGCAAATCTATGAGGGTTCCGTTGAATACGATCGATATAAAATAATACGCGATGAAAAAAACATTAGTTGAAGTGAGGCTTTTTAAAACTTTGTACCATATATATATATTAAAACTTAAATCATTTGAAAGATGAAACGCTGTGTGATATTTACGTTGAGTTATTGTAGTTATTGCAAAACGCTATGCATTGAATGTTCAATTCACTACCTAGACACATCCGTAATATTAAAAAAGGCTGATAGTGTCTAACTGTAGGCACTATCAATATAAAGAACAAAACCTTTAAAATTTGACATAATCGATATCACACAAGAAAATTATTATTTCTTAAATTTCGTATAATTTTCTTTTTATAAAAAGTTATATTAAATTTACGGACCTCCAAAAGCAACCGCCATCTGACGCAGCGTTATTATGTATTTTGGAAAAATCTATTGTTTTCTAATCTCCCCAGGTCCTCGAGTGAACGAGCTATTGAACGCCAAATTTTCTATGTGTTCATTGTGAAATCTATTATGTAAAGCTTTTTATTCCGTCCACGTAATGTACGTAACGCCGGACTACTCTTGACACAATGTATTATGATTTGCATGCACTCGAAAATTCATAATACGTGTTATTATTAATGTTGCCAGTATCTAAAATTGTTACAATAATGGTTGCATTACTTCGTTGAAATGAAATCTTCTACAAATATAATATCTAAATTGCTATATTTTTAAGTCAATTTAGGTAATTGACCTAACTATTTAAGACTTTTATAATAAAAAAAATATTTTTAATCAAATTAACAATTTACATTTGGGTGTCATCGAATTATTGACATCTTTATTCATTTACTATTATTAAGAGTATAACTAGTTACAGTCTTAATTTTTTGATAGAGGGCAGACATGGGGTCGGCTGATAAGAGGACCAATCCACAGAGCCAAGCTAAATAGGTCAAGGACCAATGAAAAATAGATTCACACTTTTCCATCTAAAGCTCTTATTTCGGGGAAAAAGAATCAAACCCACGTTCCGTTATTTATTAGTTACATTACTTCTATTGGACCTACGAGCTTGTTATTATTATAATAGCTTTATATTTTTAAATAACAATATAAAAGCTTTTACTGCATAATAAAAGTGTAATAAAAAAGGAGGAAACAAAGGCTTGAGAGGTCAGATGTAAGTCCATTTACCTTCAAAGGCTTTCAACAATATAACATGAAGGAATTCGTAAATCACAGTAACAATTCACATCAAACGATACGCTTTGTGTCTCGAGTACATTTCTCCATTGTTTTGTAAAATGTGCCATTAGCAGGCAACACAAAGCGCGCCAAACGCGATGTCAGATCGCGCGCCATTTTGCGCAAGTGGGCGGAAGTCAGTTAGGTATGTTCTAAATAACAGATAACATATGGACACAAAAAATCCTACCACCTTTTTGCAGAACTATCTGTGGTTTATGCGAGTAAACATAAATATTAAATTTTAAATATTTATCATATTATACAGTAAGTAGTAGTTAGAAAATCATACGAACTCCAAACGTGAATTAAGAAGAAAAAACAGATGGCGCTAACATGGATTTAACTTCGATCCAAGTGACGCCCACGATGTTTAGTCCCGCTATGAGCGTGTCTACTGGAAAACATCAGTTGTTGTTAAAAATGTGTTAATAAATACCTACACTTTGCGTATTAAATCGTCACAAGTTTAATTTTACAGAGTTGATTAAGTTATTACGCCTGCAATTAATTAGCGAAGCGCGTAGGCCATATCTCGTAGCACCGTAGCGCAGATAAAATTAATTATTCCCATCGCACTGTTGCTATTTTGCGTCTAATAAGGTTACACGTGCGTCTGATTAGCAATATAATTACTGAGGTTATTATAAACAATTTAGTCTAGGAGACGCCAGTATAATCTACCTCTATCAGTTTCACTAATACAGAAAATATTTTATGTACCTACCTATATATAACTTATGTTAGTTATGAATATTGCTTCATTTGTATTTGTTAAAAGGTGATATTTTAAAAATAAAACCATGGCCTTGAAATATTTTAAGAAATTATTTACTTCATTTCACTGTCATACGATCCCAGAGCCTTTTGAACTTAATAAGTATGTAAGAGAGTACTTACTTATTAAGACGAGTAGATAGATATGATCTAAGGATTTAAAAGGAATCTTCCATCTTTTAAAGAAATAATTAAGAAAGAGAACAATCATAAAATTCCCAAAGCTAAGGGATAAATTAATATGAATACCATCTGTCACGGCGCTTAACATCTTGTCAAAATATTAAACAAGGCTGAATAAGAATGGATTAAAATAAAAGGTATTTATTGAAGAGCTATAATTTTACGAGTCATCGTTTGCGCAGGTTTAAGGTTCCTTCTTGCTATAACGAGTTTTAGGTACTTAATAGAGACAATATTACGTACGTTAAAGATGAAAATAATAATATATATGACGAATTATTTATATTTCTTCTACATCTTTCCTTCTATTTTTAGTTACGGATGTAAAAGAACGGAATTTAAATAGTTCAAATCTCAACACCTTGTTTTGCTTATCATAATGAGTTAAGAACGATAGGTCGCGGCTTGTAATATCGGTGAAATAATTTATCATATATGTACTTAAATCAAATAACAATCGTAGCTTTTTTATGACCCATGTCCAAAATGTGACTTTAGTAAATATTTAGGTATTTACTTAGTACCATTAGAAATGGTTCGTCGAAAGCGACAAAATTGCACAACTACAAAAAAACCTAATGCAAAAGTATAATAATTTGTACAGAACCATTTTCACATGATATTTCGTCAGTGGTCACTGGGTTCGATATGACAGCTCTTCGAGGTGGTAATGAGACGTCAGGTGGACCAGCGCGGCGAGCCACCGTGACTCAGCATATCGTATTGATTATGTACGACAAGTTTTATTGCGAGCATTCGTCACTATAAGGACGCTTCGATGCGTTTTCAGCACCATTCATACTACATTAAGATGTAACTAAATACTGACTGTATTTTAGGCGAGTAGTACTACACATTTAAATAAAATACTAACGGTTTAAATCGCGATATATATTAGTTAAACTGATAGACCGTGACCTCGGCTGCTATAAAGCGTAGGCCATAGTTAAAATAATTTTTAAATAAGCTTAAATAATATATATCGAGTGTTATATAAAGTGTTTTATTTAAAAATTATACTACACATAAAAGAAAGCTATCCTACTCAATAAA